AGAACAGATATGAGTAATTCGGCTCAATCTAAAAGTCCTCCTCGGCAGTGTAGAAACGTTGGGCACTAGTCAAAGGTCTGAGCGTCTAGTACACGCTCCTAATAACTACAGCCCAAACATAGGTTTACATTGCTCAATGAAAATTGAGACAAATCTTGGGGTAGTGAAGGGACGGGAGTTCGGGCTGCTGAATCACCCGACACCTTCTCTTCGGCACGAGTGATTCAAGTATCTCCCAACTTTCTCCTGGGCCTGGGTCGACCCTGCATGAGACTAAATAAATTGCTCTTTGTTTCGTAGAATCCTCCCACGCGTATTGTTATCTACAAAGTACGTTCATTATCGGTCTCGGAATCCTCCCGTTAGTGGAAATTACACATCTCGCGAGCCCGAGTCGTCAGCGCTTCGCCGAAAGGCACATCCCTTATTTGCCCAAAGGTGCCTGTACATCAGTATCCTTGAGAAGCAATCTAAACATCACTTCCAGAGATATTTCCCGAGTCCGGCCTCGGGTCATGCAAGGTCCCGCGATTTATCTGTCGAATTAGACCAAAAGGGCCAACCAGATACCTAAAATTGAATTGTGACACGTTTAGAGGGTCCAGACCGCCGTAGAGGGGCAGACGAACTCATTACCAACTCCAGGTCCAGCTGCCGCGAGTCAAATCGCGACATGACCCTGACCATCGCGACGCGCTGGTCTTCAGGGATGGGATCGATCCCCAGCCACGAATAGTTGGTAGGTGGTTCGTAGCCGGGCGAAGCCCACGCGTCCCAGGGAACTGCGGACGCCTCCTCCTGCATCGAGTGAACCGCGCAGTAGTTCTCGATGCTGCCTACCATCTCGTCGCTATACGCCATCTGGCTCTCCTCGACGTCAATGATGGCCTTGAGCGCCATCGCGGCCCCATCGCTCCTCCACATCCCCTCGTGTCGGTTCATCCCCTGCAGGAGTTGCAGGCCGTGGCGTCGCAGAGCTGGGTGTCTGGACCTCTTCCCAACATCGAATAGCGGTGCTACCAGCGCCGGCTCCAGACTGAGCTGGACGGATTTTGACACGGCCTGTCTTTTCATGACAGCGTAAGCTAGGGTGATGACTCGTTGGAAATAGCCCAGGCGCAAGTCGAAGTCGGATTCCGGGCAGGGTACTGCTAATGTGAAGATGAATCTGAGCCAGCAGTGGTAGATGCGGATCGTCATGGCGGCAGATTCGTTGAGTGACCTGCCATGCCCAGCCTCAAACTCGGCCATTTGACTTTCGAACCGCTGCGTCTTGTCACGCAGATCTGCCTGGACAAACTGGTACGTCGCCTCATCGACAATGCCCTCGGCATACGCCGCCTCGTTGATCATGGCCTCCCGTATCAGCGCGAAAACGGTCGAGGAAGCCTGCGAGTACGACTCGATCGCCGCCGTCGCCATGCCCTGGCTGGTACTCCGCACTGCAGCGGCCTCGACGAATGGGTAAGGCGAGCGCGAGTCGTCAAACGTGATGGACTGGATATCCATGCGCGTCAAGGTCGACGCGATCCGCTGCGCATCCGGCATCCGGCCAGAATCCTGGGCGAGGATCTTGAAGGCGGACAAGATATGGAGATGGGATTCGTCCCAGAAGCCCAGCATGTTGGCCGATGCGATCAAGGGCAGGCTCAGGGCGAGGATCTTGGCCGGCGAGCGCAGGTCCTTGGCCAGGGACAGTGCCTTGCCATAGTGCGAGGTGGCACTCCGGACGAGGTTCTCCGTCTCTGGTCCGGCCGACTCGAGCTCCCATCTCCGGTGCAGGGCGCCGAGAGCCAACGTCGCGTGCCATATGGCGGGCTCGGTGTGGGCAAGCTGCAGCAGGTCCTGGCCCCAGAAGGCCGAGGGGATCAGGGCGTCGGTGTTGGGGGCTGTTGCTCTGCGGAAGTAGTCAAAGTAGATGAAGTCGCGGTTGGAGAGCATCGTCTGGGTCGGCAACTGGGCCAGGGATCTCTCCGGTTGTTGGCTGAGGCCAGCCAAGACCTCGGATGCAGGTCTCAGCGTGCCAATCTTGGACAAGGCCTCGACCATCTCGCGCCGGGTCATGGTCTGGCCCTCCGGGAGGTAGCCATCGCACACTCGCCGGGCAGACTTGCACCGGTGGCAGTGCGGTTTCGTCTCATCGCATTTGACGCGACGGATCCTGCGATGTCTGTGAGCACGACTGCCGGGGATAATATGGGCGGTGGCTGCTGTACCTGCAGGAGATGCAGCCAGTCCTAGTCCGCTTCAGCATATCTTGTTTTCGCAAGCGCAGGACTGGAGGTTGGGCATGGCTGGAGCTGTGGTGATACGGTGCGTGATGTGTGATGTAGTGAATCTACCATGCTCACTTGAAGTCACAGCCCTGAAAATGGGTCATCAATGCAACGGATGGCTTAGAGATGCGTAAGCGAGGGGCTAGCGGGATACGAGGTAGTGTCAGGCTTGATATCAGCATAATCGGCCTCTTGAAACCCATCCGCTTGTCCATAGGAAACACTGTTTATTCCGCGGCATTGTCTGGTCCGTGTAAAGCATCACATTCGCCGCCACTCGCATACTACAAGACGCTCATCAAGCCCAACTCTAGCCCAGGCTTCCGCTAGGCCAATCTGCTGCTGGGTACCATACCCCAGTAGATCCGGCAAGAGTCGGCAGATGGGTTTGTTACCAGGACAGCGATCGAGGATAATACCTCAACTTTCTTTTAGTCAATACTACTATACCATCGCTGCAAATAATGAGAAGATATTAAGAGGAAAAAAAGTGACATGATCTTTGAAGCAGCGACAGCTGAGACTGATAATCCTCCCTCCACATCCCGAGACGGATCAAATCGGACGGACTGTTCGCAAGTCCCGAGGATATCGCCTACCCTATACCTCCAATGACAAACATTCCTTGCTCCAGTGCAGCTGAGAAACCTTTCTCAGTATTAATAAAATTACTTTCCAGATCATTTGTGTTTATTCAGAGGTTAATTTAAGACTATATTTAATCTATATCTAATTTGATCACTTTGTTGGTACCAGGACCATCATCTGGTCGCTTGGTGGCTGTCAAGTAAAGTCGCTGCCTTTCATAACTTCCAAACAAGCGCCACAAGCTAAGCCACAAAATTCCAGCCACAGCAACATCCACATGTAGCGGAACTTCCTCCAACAGTGGCTGAATATACCTGTGGTGTAAAAATGTTGAACAGATGAACTGTAATAAATCACACGAAATCTAGAGTATTCCCTAAAGAACGCCCGCGAAGACTGGAACCAAATAATCCTCCATGAGTTTGTAGGAGATAAGCCCACTAAATACAGTTGAATTCTAACCCGAAATGCATACAAATCTGTATACCAGCACCGTTCACTAAATGTAGAGTAGTTGAGTATCTATAGTAACAACTATACTCTGGGTTTTTTTAGCCGTATATTCTCAACTCTTATCAGTTACTTATCGCAACTGAAAATCTTCTACGTGTCGTACCTAGGTTTGGTTGATATATTCTATAATCATTAGAATGTGTAGCGTTTCAAACTTAGATGTTCATTAATCTCTCTATGCTTTTCGCCTGATTTAGGTTCTCATAAGCCAAAAGGGATTAATGGTGACATCTTGTCTCGTTTGGGTTCGGATAATCACACGAGAGCGTCAAGAAACGATAATCTCACTGGCAATTCCATGCTTGGCCGTCTGCAATCCGAGTCGGAAGAACGAAAGGAAAAGGGAAAATTGTTCAACGAGAAGCCTCACTGTGGCCAATGAGGGGTGGATGGTTTCTCAAAGTACGGCTAATCAAGGAGTGACTACAGTCAGACCGCTATTAAAGGTAGGGACAACCTTCTGAATGTGGGAGGTTTTATGGGGACGCTGACGGTAGTACGATTCGTCTTACTCACAAATGGCTACCACCAAGTTAGTAGGTCCGATAGGGCATCAAAAGGGGGACATCCGAGCCTATGGGAACTGCAATAAGGTAGTCTAATAGGGATAATCTAGAATGCCATGGTACACTTCAGTATCTGATCTGAGCGAATGTAGGTATGTCAACTCCCGCACCGGCAATTATCTTGCCGTAACCATACAAAACGTGTCGTTTTTCAGCTGGGATCTGAATCCGCCAAATTGTTGAGCCAATAAGGCGGCTGAAGGTGGAAATGCTAAGCGCAATATGACCGCCAAACGTGTAAGCAGTTTCTTTGTTAGTCAATGAAATGGCAACTGGCACGCATGAAAACAAGACTTCTGCCATGATCTAGTGTGCGCTGATGCGGGTGACCCTAAATCTCCTAGTATAGTTATGTGGTCAGCGCAAGTAGTGCATTTTGTTGCTGAGCACATAATAGGTGTCTGTTGGTGCTGATGGAATGAAAAGCTGTCCGCGTCCTTGGCGTTGAACAAAGTCACTGCGCTAATGCGTGAATCCCTGGCAGCACATCCATGGAGGTACATGGAAGAACAAACTTCCAACATACGTGTTCATAAATTATTAAAGGGCATACATCGCAAGGACGACTCGAGGAAATTATTATGAGGACCAGCCTGGTGTTAACCATGGCTATGGGCTTCAACATTTGTCAACTTCTAAAGGTAGCAATCACCACAGATCGACCTCGTTGTCCTCTATCCAGGCTAGTAGTCACATTGAGCCCATCCTTTGGCTTAGCGTGAAGTATGTATTCTCCTATTCCCCGCCCCCGTTCTTTGATGAGGCCTAGTGCACGACGCTGTTTATTTTATGGAGCAATATTCATGAAAAGACATTGCCATTTAGAGGCATCCGCCCTTGAAAACCCCTGCTAGCCAGTGAAGGATACGTCATGACACGGGTTTTCGTGTTGTTAAAAATATATCTAGATGAGGGAAAGCCGGTCAGAGAGTCTCCATATAAAGGCAGCGTCACCCATCCGTGCCTCAATGGCAGAGCTTTGTTCCAAAGACTCTTGACAAGTGCTGGCAGGAACATACGCTACTAAGCCTTGAATTTCCTGTCTTCGATACCCACCATGTCTGCAAACGTACAATCCACGATTGAGACCCTCAAAAGCACTTTTGGTGATCGTGTTATCACGCCGGCTGCCGCATCCTACGAAGCTTCAACCAACCAGCCATGGTCTCAGAGCTGCTGGAGCTCTGCTGGAGCCTATGTCAAAGTAGAGAGTGCCCAGGAGGTTGCCGACGCTCTTGCCATCATCAAGCAGACAGACACCAAGTTTGCCGTCCGATCTACCGGCCACAACTTCAACCCGGGATTTAGTAGCTGTGATGAGACCGGGATTGTGATTGATCTTAGCTCACTCCAGAGCCGTGAGATCAGTGTCGATCGGAGCACCGCTCATATTGGGGCTGGGAACCGCTGGGGCGTAGTCTACGAATGGCTCGAAGAGAATGGCCTGTCGGTGATTGGTGGCCGTGATTCTTCCGTTGGCATGGGCTTTCTTATCGGCGGTATGATGCTCAGCCATATTGCCCTATGCCGAACAATGGTCACTAACGACAGTTAGGTGGCATGGGCGCTGTGCCCAACCTTCACGGTCTGGGCGCTGATGGTATCAGGAACCTTGAGGTAAGGTTTTAAGCTTGTTTAAGTGGCCTGTTATGTATTCTACTTTAGGGTTTCTTGCTAACTTCGGCAGGTGGTTTTGTCTGATGGAAGAATTGTCAACGCCAACCATCAAGAGAATCCCGACCTTCTCCAAGCACTCAAGGGCGGTGGTACTAATTTCGGTAAGCTGCAATACGCTTTGATCCCTTCTATTCACTATGACTCGTCCCCAAACCTTTCTCTGTCCTCTAACTCGGGGTCAAATAGGTATTGTCACCAAAATCGATCTCTTTACACATCCCTTGATTAAGCTACAATATAATATCACTCTTTACAACCCTGATAACTACGTTGAGATCAATAAAGCTACTGTCAAGATCCAACAAGAAATGGAGAAGGATCCCAAGATCGGGATGTTCACAAACTACAATTCCGCATTTGTCGCCGTTGGACTCATCTATGCGGACACTCCCGAGAAGAAGCCAGAAGCCTTCGAAGCATTTGATTTGCTGTCTGCGAGTGATGCCAAGATTAGCATGGCATGCGAAACGACCAATGGCACCTTGCTTTCACTTGCGAAGGTCATGTCGCACCCGGCTATCAATCTGAAGTATGACAGCTTGACTCTTCCCTCTCGTAAGATATGCTTACAGAAACCTTTAACAGACGCTATGTCGGCACCTTGACCACAGGCTTCTCAGAGGAGCTTTATACAATAGCTTACAATGCCTGGAGAGGGGCCCTCAAGACGCTTCCTGAGGGTGTGATGCTGCACTTTACAATCCAACCCCTTGGGCCAGAGTGTGTTGCAGCCGGCGAAGCGAAGGGTGGAAATATTATGGGCCTGGACAAGGTTTCTCAAGTCTGTAAGTTGATTTTATACTTTGATGCTAAAATTTACCTCGCGGTGATTCTAATTCCGGCTCAGGGTGGGTGTTTACCGTTGAGTGGCCACAAGAGGGCAGCGACGAGGCCTCCCAAAAGGCCGTCGACTCGTGCATTGATGCTCTCACAGCATCCGCCAAGTCTCAAGACTTGCTACTGAACTATCTCTGCGCGAGCTTTGCAAACCTGAACCAGGATGTGATCCACAGTTATGGTTTAGAGAACTTGAAAAAGATGCAGGAAGTGTCCCGCAAATACGACCCCGAACAATTTTTCCAGAAACTACAAAACAATGGATTCCTTCTTCGTGACGCTTAGGGTGGATTAGCTCTATATTCTAGCCTAGGGTTTGTAGGATAGGTAGATAGTAATAGAGGACTGGCTATGGCAACGTGAGCATTTGGCCCTGCTTTCTTCTATGTAGTTTCAAGTCTACTAAACGCCATGGATGAAAGATAAAACCGTATGGAGTCCGACTTTTTTATAAGCACTACACTTAGACGAAAGGTTGAGTTTCCTAGGGCGTGCTGAGAAATGGTGTATTTGAAAGGACAATTCTGTCTCTTATTGTTGCCTGCCTGACCAAAACATATACCATGATATATGAATTTCTGAGCAGTCGCAAGCCAGAGAATATATAACTAACACGAGCCGTAGCCGTAGTCAGCGACTCAACATCGGCCAAGGGAAGAAGATATGGGCAGTGTCTGAAACGGCTTTGTGTGGCATGGACTATGCGATATGCTGCTGCATGGGGTGCGTCCAGGGTTAGTTCCTTAGTCGGTGCTACGTATATCTTATCTAGGTCGAAAAGCAAATAACCCACCTCCCTAAAGATCCTAGGCTTTGGTAAATGACATTCCTAACTATGGGCAATGGTGGCGGGACGGTGGCGGACCATCTGCGGCACGGCCCGTATAAGGCCCATGGTTCCCGCCTGGTAGCATAGGATCAAAACTGTACTCTTGTGTGTTTTTTTTGAAGGTCTTGGGAGACTGGATTGAGACTGACAATATTGACTCTCGGAGTTTGATATGGTTGGTCGATACGCCATTGTGCTCTCGGAGAGATTCGGAGCCACCGCATCCCAGCATGCACACCACGACATCTAATACGGGGTTTGGGGTTGCAATCTATCCATCTATGATATACCTATGCAGATATCAAGGTTTATCAGCCCATTGCGCCCACTTGGGAATCCTCGCCTACCAATCGATCACAACGGATGTAGCTGTAGACGTGCGTCATAGCGCGCTTTGGGTAGCGAATATTCATATACCCCTCTTCTAACCACTACCAGTAGCTTAGTCGGGTATCTTTGGGTCGAAAGATTATCCGTTGACATGCATCGAGTGGTTGTGATGCAGTTCCCATGTCAAGGCGCACGTCACATCTCAACCAAACAGACGCACGCCACCCCTCGCAGATGCGCCAGCGCCCAACCACTGGATAAATTCATATCCTTGGGCGCCTAAATTCTCATAGTTCCTGATCTTGGATGAGCCGGACAAAATGGTCCTCTCCAATGAGGCAACCGGTGAGAGTCGCAGCTAGCAATCAGAACAAGTGCTGGATGCCACGGGGGATGATAGACCGCCAAACCATTAAACTGTGGCCTGGGGGTCAATGTGCTGTACATCGGGTGTTTTACTGGACTCTCAGAGGGGCAATAGCGGCAAGGGTGTGCTGTGCATCTTCGCCGCCTGGCACAAACATGTGCACTGATGCACTGTAATGCGCTGTAATTAATGCGCTGTGCAGAACAGGCAGCCACAGGCACGTGCTCTCTCTTCTACCCTTCTCCTTCCCAACAAATGTCGGACTCTGTTTCTCTCGCTTCTAGCTCTTACCTTGCTCACCATCCCATCCCCAGCTTTTCTTTTCGCTTACCGCTGCAACTGCCGGCGTGAGCTTCTCTGCAACTTCCCTTGTCTTCTGGAGCCCGGCTGCCATCGTCATCATGGGCAACGACATTGGCCCCGACTTCCCCTTCAAACCTACGCCCCCAGCTGTGCTGTCCAGCTTCAAGGTCGAGAAGCCCGAGTATCACCCTGGAGTCAAGATCACATCGGTAAAGTATATTTCCTACTGTAGTCCGTCGTTGCTACCATTGACTGACGTCTCATCATCCATCCTTCTAGTCCCCTGCGATCCACAACCCTCCCCTCCCCGCCGACGGCCCCGGCAATCGAAACTTCTCCAACAAGCTCTTGATATTCTTGCTTCTAGCAGCACCAAACTACCTTGCCTGGAAGCTCGGTGGTGGGCTCAAGACAAAGCTCTTCTTCGCTGCTCTAACGACCGTCCCCGTCCTCATCGTTTTCTGGTTCATTGCCTCGTCCATATCACCGCCCGTCAATGAGCGAGTCCGATGCCCAGGGCTCCCCGTGGAGCACTATCTGACATTTCACAAGCCGGCAGACCGCGCCAAGTACCAGGGCCCCCATAAGGTGCCGATGGAAACATTTATGCGCAAGTACTTTGATGGCGAAGCCGACTTCAACGGAGACGCTCTCGAAGTGCTCGAATACCGCCACGACTGGGCGTCTTTCCGATTCACGTGGGAGCTGTTCAGGTACATCTTGGTCAATTTCGCTTCCGATGTTCTGACCCACAGCCGATCCCAGGATGAGAGCCAAGTTCGGGACCACTATGACCGGGGTGATGACTTTTATGCTTGGTTTCTGGGCCCACGCATGGTGTACACGGCCGGCATAATCTCAGATGTGGACAAGGAAGAGTCTCTCGAGCAGCTACAAGACAACAAATTAGCGATTGTCTGCGAGAAGATCGCCCTCAAGCCTGGCGAGAGCCTCCTCGATATTGGCTGCGGATGGGGCACCCTGGCCAAATTCGCCAGCGTCAACTACGAGGCCAATGTCACCGGTATCACCCTCGGTCGCAACCAGACGGCCTGGGGCAACGAGACGCTCCGGAGAGCTGGTGTACCCGACTCACAGAGCAACATCTTCTGTATGGACTACCGCGACATCCCCGAGGGCAAATACGACAAGATCACATGCCTGGAAATGGCTGAGCATGTCGGCATCTTCAAGATCACCAATTTCCTCCGCCAATGCTACGACTTACTCGAGGACGATGGTGTCATGTTCCTGCAGATTGCCGGCATCAGGCAATCGTGGCAGTACGAAGACCTAGTCTGGGGCCTTTTTATGAACCGCTACGTCTTCCCTGGTGCAGATGCCTCGACCCCCCTTGCATACTACGTCGCCTTCTGTGAACACGCCGGGTGGGAGGTCAAGGGGTAAGCGAGACCTGTTCATTCGCTCGTGGAATGCCTGGTATTTATGCTAACTGACGTGTGTAGCATCGACACCATCGGCGTTCATTATTCTGCCACGCTCTGGCGCTGGTACAGAAATTGGCTCAACAACGAGGACGAGGTCACCGCCAAGTATGGCGTGAGGTTGTTCAAGGTGGGTTGATTTATGATGCTATTCACAGCCCATAATAAAAGGCACGTCGGCTAACCGCAGCATCGCGCATTAGATCTGGAAGTACTTCCTCGCGACCGCCACAATTTCCTCTCGCCAGGGCTCTGCCACGTGTTACCAGATCACCCTGGTCAAGAACCTCAACAGCGTTCACCGCATCGACGGCGTCCCCACGCAGTACTCGCTGCCGGGTGCCCTCGAGGCCAGCAGAAAGGCCGGCAGGGCGACTTTCCCTGAGGACAAAAAGTTGAATTGATGAAACACGCCTGACGCTTTATAATAGGAAGAAGGATGAGGAGGTGGAAGATATGTCGGGTCTGCATCAAAAGCAGCCGACTCTATGCATTCGCATTCAATGGATAATTTATGGCCAGCGCACATACTTGTTTCTATATCGATTGATCTCAGCTAGAAAAATATAAAAACTCAACGACTTTCCTTTCTGCCAAAGCGTGCGTAAATGCCTCTCTGCGTGTCGCAACGATGTCACCTCGTTATAATCGGCCAAACTTCTTGTACCTCGCGCTTACAGTGAAGGCTCTACTTCTACAACTACAAGAACGCAACTGCATGAACCGGTTTTTCTTAGTGTTCTGGACCCGGGTGATTTAAAAGGTCCAGAACGCTAGGTCGGGTCTTCACCTCACGCAGTCATCTCGGAACCAGACGTGACGCTTTGTCAAGGCAGGCTGTCTTTTATGAAGTTGCATTGGCACTGCTCACTCTCACCACCTCATTGAACAAAATATCGAGTCGATTTTCTGTTTATTAATCTAGCCATACCTCCCATTAATACACCCCATGTCTGTCAAATATCGACGAGTGCCTCTCTGCCAACTCAACTCTACCAAGACAAAATTATAGTAGTACATCTAACAAATACTACCTGAAAGTGATAACAAGTTGGTGCATCTACTTTTCCGTAGTAACTGCTCATCTCCCTTTCTTCTGCTCCAGTTTGGCGAAAGAACAACCGGACGACATCGATCGCTTGCCAGCAACCACAGTACTAAGGATCAATTCAATGTGTTTCCATTCAATGTGCTTCCATCTTGGCCCAAGGCCCAGATTACCAGTGCTTGAGGATTCTCTTGGATCTCCTTGGCGCTGGCGTGCAACCACGCCAAGTAATCTGTAAGCGCCTTGAAGCCACGACACCAGCGTTCAAGTCTGAAATGCCGAAATTCACTCGCCGAAGGTTCTGGCATATTATCACATATGCCCATCAATTGGCCATGAAGTGACTGAATAGTTTCGAGGCTGGTGGGATGGAGCACTGTAGAGCCTTGGGTAACCACGGCCTCGGCTTGGAGAATAGACCCTACGGCAGGTTGAATCTCTGACGGAAGGCTCGGCAGAAGCTCTCTAATCCTATCCCACCCCAAAAATACTTCGCGCTCAAGCACAGACTGGTGCTTAGCCAAAAGTCTGAAGAACCAAGTCGACAAGGTTGCTGCCAGCTCCTCCCATCCGCGGGCTTGAGCGAAGCATGCGTTGCAGCGGATACCATCAAGGAAAGCCGCTGTAATGTTTACCGTCTCCTCATGAGCAGCTCCAGCCCAAAACCCGAGTTCAGGCCTCCACCAGCATCCGCCAGCTCCAATACGAAACGCTCTCACCTCCTGCCAGCGCTCGCACCCGGGGCACCGTGCCATGTGCAGGGTCCAGTCAATGTAAAAGGCTCTCCCAGCTTCCACCAAAAGGAGGTCACTTATCGGAGGTCCCCCGGTGCGCAACCCAGTCCAGTAATTGGGGAAAAATCGATGTAAGATAGGTGTGTAACGTATCCTCCTGCTGTTTTGGATGGGGACTCTGGGTGTACCGCCATCGGCCCCACGCCTAAAACAGTTTCCTTGGTATTTGCACTCATTGCATCTACGCAGGTGCCGTTTCAAGCCGCAGCGTTCAGAGTCAATGGATGCGATGTTTCGGTCGAAAATCTGCAGCAGCTTATTGTCTGTCGATAATGCGCGGAACTGCTCCTGGTCGAGGCCGTCAAAACCATCAAGTCCTAAATCTCGCAGAGCTTCCAAGTTGTAGTGGACTAGGGATTCATCGAATGTTTGGACCATTGGAATAGAATCCGCGATTTGGTATCGCTTGCGGCGGCTTCTCTCCTCATCAGAAATACTTTGTTGTTGCCGGCTGCTCCAATGCTTGCCGAGCAGCGAGGCCCGCCAAGTGGTAAGAGTCTTTTCAGAGGATCCTGGACCCGGCTTCCTCAAATGCAAGCGGAGGAGAGACCTGTTATCAAAATGAACATGCGAGAGCAGTCGCATACACCCAGTACAGGCCCAGCGGATGGCCTGCCATGGCTCGCTCGCCCAAAATAACAGGAGCTCCTCGAAATATCTGGCGCGATATTCGAAGGCCGGTCCTCCAAACTCTTCTGTGAGCTCCAATTGTAAAAGCCTCTCGATAAACTCTCGCTTATTCGGGTCGATGAAGTTTCGAAAGTACCTGCTGGTTTGGCTGAGCGAGATCAAACCGATGGGATCCAGGTTAGTGATGATTTCGACCTGTAGCTCTAGGGGCAGAGAAGTGAGAAGAGCCATGCTCTCTGTTGTGATTGTTTCCGTAGAATTTGGAAATTGCTAGGTTTTCGTGTGTGGTGCGTGTGTGATTTTGTTGTGTGAAGTGTGCAAGAAGTTGAGACAGAAGGTTGACCATTGCGCCTGCCATGTCCACCCCAGGCAGCTATACAGTGGAGCCCACCTTTCTCAGGCATCGCTCTACCCAGACAATGGACAGTGTGTCTGCCAAAATTCCAGTCATGCAGCAGCATAATGAGATGAAATTACTTCCCCCAGGATTCAGAAAAGCAGTCCTTGCTAACACTTACTACAACGAAGCCGAACTTGATGTGCCATGTCAAGGTGTACCATTCCATAAACGGTTCAGCGCGGCTTAGTAGAGGTGATCCTCCTGCCCCGCCATGTCGATAAGGCACAGAGCTTTATCGACGTAGCATGATTGGATGATTGGTCGTGTCCCCGCAGGTACCCACTCATGTCTCTATCACGGTACAAACTCGCATTCAACCCCCCATAGCGTGCACTAAAACCAATTGTCGGTGCACTGACCGCTCTGTAATGTGGTGCACTGACGCGCTATGATGCAGCACTTTGAGACATGCACGCGCCACCTCAATGGCGGGGTAGAAGCAATCGCCAGCTCATCTTCGTCCCGAGCTACTGCTTCTCCTTCCTCCATCCCTTGTTCCCGACTTTCTCCCATACGATCGAACGAGATACCTCCATGACCTAAGCCCATCCATCTTCCACGCTTCGAAAAGTCTACAGAACGGACGGTGCTAGCACACAGGCTAGCTATACAACCATGGCGTCTAATGCCCAGGGCCGACAGGTCCTCCCCGACAACGTCAAGCCCGTCCACTACACCCTGACTGTCGAGCCCGACTTCTCTACCTTCACCTACCTCGGTACCGTCGAGATCGAGCTTGACGTCAAGCAAGATTCGAACTCCATCTCTCTCAACGTCAACGATATCGAGATTCACGAGACCACCCTTCAGATCGACGGGACACCCGTGTCCTCCGCGCCCTCGCTCAGCCACAATGCCGAAACCCAAACCACCACGATCGACCTCACCGGTGGCGCCCAACTCAAGGCAGGCCAGAAGGCCTTGCTCAAGCACCGGTTCACAGGCAATCTCAACGACAAGATGGCTGGTTTCTACCGTTCGTCGTGGTCCAAAGACGGCCAGGAGCACTTCATTGCGTCGACTCAATTCGAAGCCACCGATGCCAGAAGAGCCTTCCCTTGCTTCGACGAGCCTGCCCTCAAGGCTACCTTCACCGTCACCCTGATTGCCGACAAGGAGAAGACATGCTTGGGTAACATGGATGTGGCCAGCGAGGTCGAGGTCGACTCCACCATCACCCCCGGCACCAAGCGCAAGGCCGTCACCTTCAACAAATCCCCGATCATGTCGACCTACCTCGTTGCTTTCATCGTCGGTGATCTCGAATACTACGAGACGAATAAGTTCCGACTGCCCATTCGTACATACTGTACTCCCGACCAGGACATCTCCCATGGTGTCTATGCCGCCGAGCTGGCCGCCAAGACCCTCGAGTTCTATGAGAAGGAATTCGGTATTCCCTACCCTTTGCCCAAGTTGGACATGGTTGCTGTTCCCGACTTCAGCGCGGGTGCCATGGAGAACTGGGGGCTGGTTACCTACCGAGTCGTTGCCGTCCTGCTTGATGAAAAAACCAGCAGCTCGGGGACAAGATATCGTCTTGCTGAGACCGTCCAACACGAGCTAGCCCACCAATGGTTTGGCAACCTCGTCACAATGGATTTCTGGGAGGGTCTGTGGCTCAATGAAGGCTTTGCCACCTGGATGTCGTGGTATTCGTGCAACGCCTTCTACCCTGAGTGGAAGGTGTGGGATGGCTATGTTTCCGACAGCTGGGCTTCTGCTCTAGCCCTGGACTCTCTTCGAAGCTCACATCCCATCGAGGTCCCTGTCAAGGTGGCTGACGAGATCAACCAGATCTTCGATGATATTTCTTACGCCAAGGGATCTGCTGTCATCCGCATGATCTCCAAGTGGCTTGGCGAGGATGTTTTCATGGAGGGAATCCGAAACTACCTCAAGAAGCACGCCTACGGAAACACCACCACCAACGACTTATGGGCCGCGCTTAGTGCTGCCAGCGGCAAGGACGTCGAGAATGTCGGCACAATCTGGACCAAGAAGATTGGCTTCCCCGTTTTGACTGTCACTGAGGATGCCGCCTCCAACACCATCCATGTCAAGCAAAATCGATTCCTCAGAACGGCAGATGTCAAGCCCGAGGAAGACGAGGTCCTGTACCCCGTCTTCCTTGGCCTGCGCACCAAAGACGGTGTGAACCACGACTTGGCTCTCAGCACACGGGAGTCTTCCTTCAAGCTCGACGATCTCGATTTCTTTAAGCTCAACTCGGAGCACTCGGGCATTTACCGCACACTCTACACACCTGAGCGACTGAAGAAGCTCGGTCAGGCCGCCAAAAACGGTCTGCTGCCCGTGTCTGATCGCTCAGGCATGGTTGCCGATGCCGGCGCGCTCACCCAGGCTGGGTATCAAAAGACATCTGGCCTTCTCAACCTCCTGCAGTCGCTTGACTCGGAGCCCGAGTTCCAAGTCTGGGGCGAAATCATCGGTCGTATCGGTACTCTACAGACGGCTTGGCTATTTGAGGGCGACGCCATTTACAATGCGATCAAGTCTTTCCTACGAGCCCTTGTGAGCAAGCGAGCCAACGAGCTCGGCTGGACTTTCACCGGCCAAGAGGGACACATTGAGCAGCAATTCAAGACGCTCATGTTTGGGGCAGCATGTGGCTCAGACGACGAGAAAGCCACCGCCGCGGCCAAGGAGATGTTTTCCAAGTTCAAAGGTGGCGACCGTGAGGCCATCAACCCTAACCTCCGCCGGATCGTCTTTGCTACCGCTATCCGGCTAGGTGGTGTTGAGGAGTATGAGGCCGTGCTCAAGGAGTACCAGACAGCCAAGACAGGCAGCGAGCGCATCGCCGCTCTCAGCAGCTTGGGCGCCGCCGATGACCCTGCGCTCGTTCAACGAACACTCGACTACGCTCTCAGCAAGGAGGTCAAGAACCAGGATATGTACCTCATTCTGGGAGGACTTCGCCGCAAGCCCGCACAGATCAACACTCTTTGGGCCTGGGTCAAGGAACACTGGGAGCAGCTGCGAGAGCTGTTCCCCACCTCGATCGGCATGATTGGAACGATCCTTCACATCGGTACAACGTCGTTCACCAAGGAGGAGCAGAGGAAGGATGTCGAAGCGTTCTTCGAAAAGCACACTACGAAGGGTATCGATATGGATTTGGCTCAGGCACTCGATGCCATCAAGGTCAAGCAGGGATGGCTAGAGCGTGATTCCGCGGACGTCGAGAACTGGCTGAAGCAGAACGGCTACCTGGCTTGAGTGTCCCGTGAAGTAAAAGCACATTAGATTCAGATATGGATCATTCAGGTTAGAGAAAATAGAAATCAACCAATCTTGAGTGGCTTTGCTCCTAGTAGTGAGTTAGCAACCACTGTAGGCCTTTTACTCATAGGAATGTGTTCTGGCTCGAGTGCGCCAGCGCAACTCTGGGTTTTCCTTTCGTAACAGAGGTCAAGGAGAGTAAATCCCCAATCCTAGCAAGTTCCAGAAACCCATCCATGTGACAATTTGTAGTTACTGACGCGACACCCTGACCATACGACAACCCTGATGCTGCTAATAATTTGTATTTGCGGACATATGATGAGGCAAAGAGGTGGGCACAGCGAGTTACGTAGAAGCAGGTTGTTTACATATCGGCTTACGATACAGCCATTTGTGTGATGACGAGGACGGCGCAGGAGGGGAAGCAGGAGAAACAGCAGAAGGGCACACAAGGCGGCGGCGGGAAAGGCCAGCAGAGGGCAGTGTGTTATTGTGTATTTGTCCGAACTGAAGACAATAACCAGCCCCGTCTGCCCTTGTTGCCCTTGCTGCCCTCGTCAGCACCCTCGTCATCGCCCTCATCAACAGCGGTTACACACAACTTATCGTTTCATTAAGTGCACCATACTCCATCCGCCCTCTCTAACTCAATACTATCACGGTTTGAGAGGAACAATCAATAATCCAGGGCCTAGAAGTGGTTGATTGGAAACCTAGGATGCCCTTCCCGATGCCTGGTCAGTCTCCGTTACCCTTCTTCCTTTACCATTGGCCAGCTTCTCACCACATGCAGGACACCCCTATGAGGAGATGGGACCCCCAGCTCGCATACCTGCCCGTCAAATACACCGGCAACGCCAAAAGCCCCTTCAAAATACAAAACCACCTGCTCGCATCCAAAAGCGGCCCAAAGAAACACCCTACTTCGCCGTCTTCGAACCCTTCCAAATAATCTACTGCAAGTCATGCAAGGACCTAATCCCCACGAGCGCCATTGGCATCGGCATCCACCTCCAAAGCCCCTGCTACGGTCTACCCCCCGGCCCGAAACTCGACAAGGCGGCCCTCCAGGCCCGCGCGCTCCTCCCCACGACCGAGGACGACAGGAACATGATCCGCCGGAGGGGCGAGCTGTACACGCTCGCGGCGGGAAGTGACATGATCCTGCCCGAGGTCCCCTGGCTGCGCCCGCCCGTCAGCGGGTACTTCTGCCTGCTGTGCGGGCAGCCGCGGCGGAACAGGACGGTGCTGAGGGAGCACATGAGGAGGGTGCACGACGGGGAGAACGATATGTGGGGGACGACGCTGGTGCAGTCGTTTAGAAGCGCTGGGGCGGACTGGCTGACGTTTCGGGTGCGGCGGAGGGGGTGAGGAGGGTGCGAGGAAGGGGTGGTGGGCGAGGAGGGGAGGCTGGGAGGGAGGTTGAGGAGGTTTTGAGGTGTGAGGGGAGGGGTGTGGTGGGAGTGTGCAAGTCATTGCTTCTGCCTCCTTTGTTGGTGTTGAGGTTGAGTTTGGGGATATAGTGGTAGTAGTCAATCCCATGACTATCAAGGGAATGTAATTTCATTCTATGGCCATGTTATCATAATAAAATGGCCGTCAAGGGAAAATATGGGATTTGTTTCTCTTCATACAACACACTTGGATGATTGGGATGGGCATTGTGAGAGTCGTAGTGGTACCACACATGAAGTCATCATTTCTAATCTACTTCACCATCATCCCACGTGTGTTGGACTCTTAGACACCACTTGGACAAACAAGTACTATGTCAGTAAACTAAGGGGCATCCAATCACCTTTCAGTTTCTCCTTCTGCTGAGCATCACCCGTCACTGGCGATTGGCTTTCAAGACCTTTTTTCAAGACCTTCTTTGTTCCCTGCTGGGAATAGAAGCTTCTTGAACCCTGATACGAGATATGAGACACGATGTACCAGACATGAACCCAATTACCATCTACCAATTATATTAATTTCGCCTGAGCGCGGAAGTAGACGAACATTTCTGTCTAAGTATGTTTAGTTCAGTAGAGTGGTAGACCCCATTGGCTCCATACGAGCCACTTGGTTGTATTTGCAAGGCAGTCAAGCATACTGACATTTTTATCTCTTCTATCGTGGTAGTGGAATAAATAGACTGTGATGTTAGTGACGTAAATTTCATCGATGAAGCCTGCATATCTTACATATGTATCAATCACAATGAACCACCCACCTTCTTCCGACTCACACTTTCTGATGTCCATCTAACTTCTTCTCAGGTATTACAGAAGCAGCTGGCAATATCAGCTTCTCATTCAGGTTATTCTCAGACTAACTACCACAAACCGTCTTGAGTTTCATAAAAGCTACGAGTCAAAGGTTTAGGGTGCCTCGGAGGTCCCCAAATGGTTGGCTAGTCAACAAAGTGATTGCCTTACCTTGATTATGTGAACAGGCTAAAGACACCCCTCGCTAACTTCAACAACACGAACGAACGAATGGATCCAGAATCAGTCTTGGCCATCATATTGTCTTAGCTTGAACAAGTAGGAGTTCTTCACTCTCACCAATCAAGTCTTCTACGAACTCCGAACGCTTTTCTAGACCACAACCTCTCTATCTTCGTCTCTGCTCTCATCTTCGGCGGAGCAACAATCTCAACAGTTACGATATGATTTCCATTCTTTTCTTAGTCCTCTATTCCAGAGCCACTTCAGTTTCACGCCACAGGTCTCGATGAACTTCCAGTTGAAATTGAAGCAGCCTCACAACTCTCCAATGTTATCATTTGGCACATACCAGCAAGTTGCCGTATCATCAGTTCCTAACATCGATGAACCAGGTCTTTAAATCTGAGGGTTTGTTATAATCATCAACTCCACAACATGAAGTGACCTCCAGAGTACATGGGATATAGCGCCATGGTATTGATCTCACAGCTTTAGAAGCTGCGGTTACACAGGTGCACACTAGTCCGGGTCAGGCCATCTTCAGGTTGAATTCACCTTGTTCCGGAACCGAAGAACTAGGCAGCAGAGTTACACAATACGCAGCTCTAATTTCCTGTAACCAAGCAGGTTCTTCTCAGTCACCATATTTTCAGGTTCTAGCTTTGGGTGGGCTTGTGTGAAGCTTCTGAGGTTGTCGTGTTTTAGAGTAGCTTTTGTTCTAATTACTGAGTAATTCGCTAGGCAAAGAGTCGACATTGAGCATCTCCTATTTCCAAAATAATGTCAAAAGTAATTACTGAAGAGGCATCAGAAATAAATACTGCCTGAAGCCATCAGTAGTAATAGGCAGTGATTCTATGCTTCTTGTTGAAATATGGCGTTGAGACAAACAAAGTGACCAGACCCAGGTTACCTGTAGTGGCCTTCACTGGTAACTTGCGAAAGACTCGCACCCCAAACGAGAAGGGATATTGCACGTAGACACGTCTGCTGCACCGTACCTTTTTCTCGCCCACGAGCTCGCGTGCTTCCCTCCAACTCCAACCAAATTCTCTCTTCTTTCTCCTCGCAGCTTCTCAACACCTTTCTACCTTTCTCATCCACAACGCTCATCAGAACTTACTGAGTCAACCGAACCTTTGATCAGAGTAGTTCTTCAAAAGCTTCATTTTGTTGATTTCATCTCACTGCCAGCCTTTCGATCAACCTCCACCTACCTACCGAGCAGAGGCCGCTGCTTTTGTGTCGTCAGAATGGATCAACAACCTGTTCGCCACACATTGGGAAACGCGTCGATGCAAGTGTCTGGACCATCTAACCCAGCTACAGCGAATGTCGGGGACGGATATTTCGGCCTAGGCACTATGGTTCATGAAACCATCAACTCCTCTCTACGAGACTTTGAGATGTGGGGGTGGGACCCTGAGCTTTCCCTGCAAGATGTTCACGACATTGTTGAGGACTTCTATGGACCATCAGAGAAGAGAGAACCAGCAATCGACCACGGCGAGGATCGACCTGAGAAGAAGAATTCAACAAACGAGGAGAATGAATCCATGTCGAAGGCTTCAGCAGAGGATGACTTCATGAACTGGTGGAATAACAATGACGATGAAAGCGACGCAACTGTCACCGGTCTTGAGCCGACCTCGGCTTCACCTGATTCACAGACAGTTCACGACAGCCCACCAACATTCGCCCACGACGTGATGGCTGTAGATTCAGAAGACGAATCGGGTAATGGCAACCTACAAATGCCGCCAGTTCTGCTCAATCCTGGGGCTTCACCGGAGTCACAGACAGTTCACGACAGCCCACCAGCATTCGCCCAGGACGTGATGGCTGTTGATTCAGAAGACGAATCGGGTGATGGAAACCTTCAAATGCCACCAATTCTGCTCAACCCCGGAGAGTTTGAGCATTCCAATCTCTGCAACCAAACCCCTTCACGAGCTCTTACACTAGGCTCTGGAGAATTCCAGCATTCTCATCTCTACGATCAGAACCCTTCACGAGCTCCTCCACTAGGCTCAGCGGAATTCGAACTCTCTCGTCTCTACAACCGGAGCCCTTCACGAGCTCCTGCACTAGACGCCACGAACATGAACGAAGCTGGTCCACACGGACATGGGCAGCAAGTTTCTCAGCAAGCTTCCGAGCAAGGCTCTTGGGCCGACAACCTCAACGCAGCATTCCCAGGCCTGCATCTTGGTCTCCCTCAGGAATACTTTCATCTTATCCCGGAGTTGCAGGTCGTCTTGTGCACCGCCTGCCACGTTGCGTGCCCGAACACGCATCGCCATATCGAGCAGCATCTCCTCAATTGCCATGCCCTTCCACACGTCCGCCACATCCTCACAGCATGCCTGGGGCTCTTCCCGGCTAGCTTACCGGAAGACGACAGCGTCGCGGGCATGATGGATCGGATCAGGGACCAGCTCAAGAGCGAACCAACCGAAATCAGCCCGATTCCATTCCTCGAGGCCAGCGAGGCCTACGTGTGCCCACGCGATCACTGCAACTATGTTGACCACGACAGCCGGAGAGTTCTGATGCACTGTCGAAACACCCACAGTCTGAAGGGATCCGTCAGATACATGGCGCGAGTTCAGGCTTACTCTCTGCACGTGAGCAGAATCAACAAGGTCAGCGTTCGGGCTCGCGAGTAGTCCCCAGGAAAAGTATTCACGACTGTTTGCGATCTCCCTTCCGATGTTTCAACCCCAACAAAGAAGGATGCGAGATGGAGACTTGGGGTGATTCAAAGATGAGATATTCATTCCAAAGTCAATGCGCGACTGTAATAACAAGTTTGACAATCGGAGGAGTTTGTGGACGGACCGGCTCGGTAGGAAATGAAGGAGTTCAGGCACAAAATTGGGTGGATGTTTAGTTCGGATGGAGTTGAGGATTTGTTTGATTTTCTTTTGATTTTGTCATCCCCGATGGGGCTTCGATTCATCTTCACGAATCAGACAATAGTCAATGTGTAATGTGGTCAGGGATCGAAAAGTTTAGGCAGAGGCAGGCAAAAGACCAGGCAGTAATTGACTTTTATACGATCTGCTTGCAGATTCCTCAATGCATACGAACTCTGATATTGGTCGTGAGTGATACAATAGAAAGCCTTCTTGTGGCGCAGTCTATGAATTTGTCACCATGTCTTGCGTGCTCGCTTTCGGTTTCTCATATTAAATTGGTAGGAAAATTGCGAGACAATACTCCAATCCAATCAGCCCCCGGCAGCGACGTGCCGTCTCTGAACACAGGAGGAGTGGAGGTGGTGGGGATATCTCCTATTATTATGAGGATCATACGCGCTATGGACGAGACCATGCAATATGCGACATTAGCCTCATGCAACGCCTCCTCTGTCCTCTGGAACTTGACTTCTGCAGATTGGTATACTCGATAGAAATAGCAATCAAGATCTGATCTCTGGAGTCAACACTGCCAGTGGAGGATCCAAGGCAACGCCAGGGGCAAAGACGAAATTAGAAGCAGCAGGGCTGAGCAATGACAAGGACTGGGATCGCCTGAAATGCCTGAAATGCATGGAACCGTTCCATCTTGCCCCTTTCCAGTTAGCACTTGTCAGCCGCTACGTCAAGCTGGGCTGGCCGTCAGCATGATCCCTGAAGCCCAGCAGATAGATGAACGGAGGCGGCCTCTTTTTTTTCTCTCCTCCTCCGTCCCCAACATTAAAGTAGCTACCGCCCAGCCAACGACGTGCGGGAGCTGCAGATTGCCGTCGTTGTTTGAACTTGAGGAATTGCTGCTTCGATATGTCGTCCCAGGTCGCTCCCGACTGCGCAACTCCCCCGCCCTCGTACGCACAGGTGGACAGGTCGAAGCAGGCAATTGATGTCGAGGGCTCGTTCGTCGACCAGACCCAATCCTCCATAGAGTAAGGAACCCTCGCATCGATAGGGCTGATGTGGATCTAACAAACGAAGCAAACGCCTGGCGCCTGTCAACGACGGAGGCTTCCCCGAGGTCGTCGTCTCCTCGTCGGACAATACGAGTACACGTCGTTCCCATTCGGCGCCAATGGTGCACAGGAATCACTCCGCAGTCTCCATCAATTCCACCAGCAAGAGGAACGAGGCGCCGTCAATTATGGATCGAGGGGACGATCTGACCGTCACGCCTCTGCACCTCCTGGACGACCAGGCCGACTGGGTTGACTGCCCCTTCTGCCGTCAACGGGTAGAGACTCGCGTGAAGTACGAGGCTTCAAGGCAAACACAGTACGCAGATTGATTGACCCCTTCGAAATCTCCCCCAACTCACAGTCCATTAGCTATGCTGCCACGGGTCTCTTCCTCACCACTATCGGAGGTGTGGCTCTTCCGTACAAGAAGAACTGGAAGTGCCATATTACCCATGTCTGCACCAACTGCGACAAGAATGTGGCCCATAAGAAGTACGGCAAGGAGATGGTAGCGCTGGGCACGCCGGAGCACTTGCGGCAGGTTTCGAGATTCGCTTCTAGCTCCCCGGCGCCGGGGAGTCGACAGAGCACCAATCAAACAATATGAGGTTTGCGATTTGTTTTATGATATCCTAACGAGCACGGCATTCAATTGCGAGAAGACTCTAGCTGTATTGGTGAGATGGTATTTTGGATTAATGGATTGTAACTATATGAAACGCAATTATAGCACTGAGCACTTGTTCGCATTTCTGGCCTCCAAATCGCAATACCTGGTATCTCCCATTCGCGCAGATATTAATGCACGCTCGATCTACACGACAGCAGTCTCCTTGGTCTCCTTGGTTTCCTTGACCTCCTGCTTCTCATCAACCTTGAGATCCACCACCTTCTCTTCTGGGCCGCCGTCGTTGGTTCCAATGAAGTTACTCTCCTCCTGGTTGTTCAGGGCATCCTCCTCTCTATCAGCCTTGCGGAAGGTCAGGTAGAATCCGATACCACCAATCATGGCGATGATGGCGACAGTTCCGTAGTTCCACACCAGCAGGGGATCCTCCGACAGACCGACGAGGGCCTGTCCGAGTGCGGAGGATACGGCGGAAGTGAAGAGGGCGATGGCCTGGACGGTGGACTTCATGTTCTTGGGCGCTTTGGTGTATGCGTATCTATTTGGCCGTTAGCAATCAATCAGGCAATGAATTCAAGGTAAAAATATGAACTTACTCGAGTTTGGTGATGGACGCCAGCACTTCAGACATGCCCACCAAGCCGTAGGGGAAAACCTGGATCCAGACGGTGATGGGGGCAGTGCAGTCCTTGCGGCCGGCCTTGACCTGGGCGTTGATGTCGTTGCCGCACGCGGACAGCTTGTAGATGTAGTACTGCGTGACGCAGGCCGAGATCATGGCAAAGGAACTGAGGACGAAGCCAGCGGTGATCTTCTTGATGGGGCTGAGAACGACGCCCATCCTGGTGAGGGCCGGGTAGATGATAAAGTCCATGAGGGGGATGACGATGATGATGAAGATGGGGTTGAGCTTGGAGACGATGTCGTTGGGGGTCGACCCGAGAACCATGGTGCTGGCCTGGGAGACGAGGTTGTTGGTCATCTGGTTGTAGGCGAGCCAGTACAGAGGGTACCAGAGGAAGACCTTGCAGGCCAAGACACCACGCTTCACCTCGTCGACCCAGGCGTCGTCAAAGGTCATCCACGCGGGCACTGTCTCGCCGCGGGCCCGGATCTCGCTGGGCTTGGCGCGGTTCCAGAACTCGGGGTCGCGCCAGCCCTTGCTCCTCTTGGAGGCGTATCGGATCAGCTTCCAGCCCTTGCCCATCACCGAACCCGTTGGTGGGGAGAGCTTGTACGACTTCTTGAAGTACCAGAGGATGATTGGGCACAGCAGGTAGCAGATGGTCGGGAGGGTGTAGGAGAGCCAGAAGCCGACAAAGTGCTCCGAGTAGACCATGGCCAGGGAACCGGTCAAAGAGCCCATGTTGATGAGGAGGTAGAAGTAGATGTAGATCCTAGCCGTCGTCACTGCAGGGTCGACGATCTCCTTGTGGCCTCGCTTGTTGACGCGGACGTAGGCCTTGGAGTCCTTGTATTGCTCGGCGATGAGGGGCGAGATGTTTGACTTGAAGCCGCCAGTGCCGCAGCCCATGATGACCAGACCGACAGAGAAGATGCCAATGGCGGCCTTGGGGTGGACGATGACGGGTGGGATGGCCGAGATGATGAGAACGATGTGACCGAAGAGCGCGACCCAGTTAGAATATTGAATCGTCAGGTACCGGCCCCAGTACGTGTCGGCGAGGTATGCGCCAATCAATGGTGTGAAGTACGACCAAAACTAGAGAAAGCCATGTTAAAATTGATTATCTTTCATCTCACTAGGAAGTGGCTAACCCACCTGGTTGAAGGTAGTCAGGCCCGTGGACGCTCTCTGACCCATTCCGAGGGCACCAGAGCTTGTCTTGAGGAAGCCGGAGCCGGTGTTGGAGCCAGGAGGGAGAGGCTTCTGGATGAAGTTGACAACTAAGAGAGAGGTTAGCTCTGGGACGCTCTATAGGGAGTACTTGCTGAAAGGGCGAAACTCACACACAGCGCTGGTGCCATAGTACGAGAAGCGTTCGACAAACTCGACAAAGGCGACAGTCCAGGCGGTCCATGGGATGCTGCCTGCAACGCGAGGGAGGGTCTGCCACTCCTCCTCGGTTGGGAACGGGTGAAGAAGATCGGTGGACTCCTCGGGGTCAGAGTCTGGAGAGTTGCTCTCATTGACCATGGTAGGCTCAACGAGTGAGCCCCCCTTTGTGATCTCCAAACTAGCCTTGGTAGCCATTGGGACTCGATCGAAAGAAGATTTGTTCGGCACAGAACAGTCCTAGTCAAACGAGAGGCTCAAGCAAGAAAATGTAACCGTCTGCCACCTTTTGTATCCAGGGAGGCCTCTTGCCAGCTGGATGAGGGGACGCGCCAAGCAATCCCGGTAGGGCTCTCTGTCGGCCCATCTCAGGGTATCTGCTATCTCGGCGGTTTCAATGCTACGTTGGAAGCTCCTTTGGTTGAGGCGGCCAAGGGTCTGGACCTCGTCAGGGTCGTACCGAAGCGCATAATCTCACGCAGCTTCGGTTGCATTCTTCCCCCTCTTCTGCCCAGAACAGAAGGAGCCTATCAGAGTGAATAGATAAAGGTGAGCAATGGTCATTTAAGTTAATATTTAACCCTAAATCGTCAGACCTTCCAGAATGGATCCCAAAAGTCCTTGACAAAAGTTCGACATGGGTGGGCTGCAAAAAGTTCGCCTCAACGTTGGATATCCTTGCACCGAAGGGGAATAGTTCTTCGGCCTAGCTTCCATCGATTGGATTGCGCCCGCTATCAATATGCTGAGGTTACATTCACGTAACAGCAAGGATGCAGTCTAGAGCTTGTCTTGGTTCTGCCCCCCGGGAAATCTCCGTAGCAACCCCACCATTTTCCCTTGAAGTTGTGTCAGTTGAGCAAAGCATGGCCGAATATGGTTCCATGCTGATAACGGTGAGCAGATGATTCGATGTGCCTCGTGGCTGGCTTTCCCAGGCTCTGGTCTCATGCTTCTATCCTGGGTTCTGTTCAATCTGGTGGTCCATGCTCTATAAGGTGGGCAATTTCCCCCAGTCTCTTTTGGGCTCTCTTTTCAGATGACGCCTTAAATTGACTTCTCACAACCATTCCTCCACAGTGGGCCTTGTTACCCTATCCAGCAGGGTCACCGAGAGGCCAATCCGAGTTGATTGAAAAATAAGCCTATCGGAAGGTTAGTAAACCCTTGTCAAATGATGAGTTTTCGTGTCAGATAAGCCCGTATCGTTGGCAAAGAGTTCGGTCTGCTGATACGGAGGCTCTACTCCTAGAGGATCTTTTGACAAGCCAAGACCGATTGGCGTTTTGCCTCACACAAGCGCTAACGCGGCTTGGCCTGGGGTTTGTCGGTCGTTTACCAACGGGTGAAGGCCAGGGGTTGAGCGTCCTTGTACCCCAATACCACAAATAAACGAGAACTACTGCTCGGACCTTACCGTCGGGACCCAAACATTAGATAGTTTCCAGAAGGCTTCAAGTGATCAACAATAAACTGCAGTTCTGGAAAGTTTGAGACTGGTTGACAGACTACAAAGGTACCTAGAATATCCCTCACCGCGAATGCGGGGTGAGCTTTGTCGCGTTTGAAGTTCATAAGCCGCCACATTTACTCGATCAGTCAAATCAAGGACTTAAGGTTGCATGAAATAATATAAGTCGAGTCGAGGCTGGTTGCGACTTTGATAAATCAATTGCGTTCTGCGTATTGCGTATGACCATTTTGGAGACTCCCACGACAAAGTCTTTGTGCATGTCAAGTACTACCTCCCAGGATACGGAGAGTCATCAAAGAAAACATACTGGGGACACACCGTTCATCCTTAGATGGAGATTACGTGATTTTGACCAGTTCAATAGTCGCAAATACTTTCTCCATTGACTGGGGAACTTTTGTCAAGAGGTTGAGAGAAGAATGCTTGGTGATCTTGGTTATTGATCTAGGGTAGGCTGTTCATTCAAGTCGCCTCTTATCGATAACTTCAACATTTTGGTGGAGATTTGCCGAACTTCAGCCATAGAGAGCGAGAGGCAGCCGAGCATGTCACGTGACAGCTTCTAACGCGCCTCGCGCAAGTTCGGCAATTTCTCGCGTCGCACAAAATGGAAGATGGTGATGAAGAGTGGAGGCAATGGGCGAAAGCCAGACGCCATGTTCGCAGCTCGGCCGAGCAGACTGGCGAATGGAAGCCGTGCTGGATCGTACATATATAGAAGTGCCTGGTTGACGGATTGATGATGAAATGAACAGCATCAAGCATCAACATCAACATCATCACCAACGACATCAACTTCAACACCTTCAAGACTCAACCAGAGCCTAACTCACACACTCCCATCCAACAAGTCCCTCCCAACTAGCCATGTCCTCCCCCAAGACAGTTGTATTCCTGGGCGCCAGCGGTGGAGTTGGCCTCTCGGCACTCAAGCACACCCTGGCTGCAGGCCACCAGTGCATCGCCGTCTGCCGAACACCATCCAAGCTGACTGACATCATCCCGCTGTCGACGACCCCTAATCTGCGCGTGGTCGAGGGCAACGCGCACGACGTAAAAGTCCTCGTCTCCGTCCTCCGCAAGGAAGACGGCACCCTTGTCGACGAGATCATCTCCACCATCGGCGCCCGGCCCGACCTGCTCAAGCTCAGCATTGACGATCCCAATGTCTGTCGCAAAGGCATGACCACCTTGCTGGAGGCCTTGGAGCAGCTGCGCCGCGACGGCGCCACAGGGAGACCGTTGATCGTCGTCTGTAGCACCACGGGCATGTCCAAGTTCGGCCGCGACACTCCTCTGCTCGTCGTCCCTCTCTACAGTATCCTGCTTAAGGTGCCTCACGAGGACAAGGCGATCATGGAGAATGCGCTGGCCGAGAGCGGCGAGGACTTTTGCGTTGTGCGGTGCAGCCTGTTGGTCAATGGCGAGACAGACTCGCCGATTCGGGTGGGCATCGAGGACCCCAAGACGGGCCGCGAGTCTGATGCGATTGGGTACACTATTTCCCGCGAAGATGCGGGCAAGTGGTTTGCGGATAATCTGATTGTGAACCGCGAGGCCAAGTACGTGAATAAGATTGCAACCATCACCTACTGATCGGGTACGGAACCCTTGATTCCTTGATCTGGCGTTGCTTTCTTTTGTTGGTTTGAATTTGGCATGGCGAATTTGTTGAATAGATAGGATCACTTGATACCACTGGAATAGTTGCTTTAGCTTGACACCTTTTAATATACATACTGTAACTCGACACGCTTGGAACAACCAACTGGTGACTGGACCCTGGTCATCTCGGGTGATGCCGATGAAACTGGCTGAACCCCGCTGCTCGCGAAAATCGAAGTGGTGACGGGTCTTTGATGGAATCCACTAACATTTGCTACCAGAAATACGAAGAAATGAAATGTGGATGACCTTGTTCACGGCAGAGATGCTGGGCTACTATCTCATAGCTATGGTTTCTATATGGGAGATATTCCATCCTGCGCGCCACTCTCTGCTTGATATTGCTTTCGATCTATGTTCAGCACTATGACACGGCAAAATCAAAACCCCGTGTGTCTGGCGTTAACATGTGCTAGCCAGATATGGAGGCAGAAGACTCATTTCCCAGGCGTCAGTCAGCATCACAGCCCAAGATCCTGCGACCGACGCAGCCGCTGAAAACCACCAAGCTGCATCAACGACAGTCACGGCAGCGTGGCTCAACAAAGAGAGAATCGTCTTCATCAGCCTCGCCAAGAAAAAGACAGGGCAGCAATGTCGCAGCTGTCAGGCGGTTCGCCCGGGACCAGCTCGGCACCGCCCGCGCCCGAGAAAAGCGCGAGCTCGTCCGTCTCGCCCGCCTCAGCGCCGCCGACCAAACCGCGCAGCTGTGTCGTCTGCCGGAGCCGCAAGGTCCGGTGCGACAAGCAGTCGCCGTGCTCCAACTGCCGGAGGGCCAATATCCCCTGCGTCGTGCCCTCCAACGACCGGCCGCCCAAATGGGCTCGTCGGCTTGAGCGCATCACCAACAACCCCGCCGCTGCGGCGGCGGCAAATGCGTCGTCGTCGCCATCGCAGCACCTGCAGCCGCACGGGGGCGATCAGGCTGGGGTTGGGCAGGTCATGGAGAGGCTGAGGAGTCTGGAGGGACTGGTCAAGGAGCTGAGCGGCCAGCTTGAGCAGGCCCATTCGTCGAGTGGAAGCCCCCCTGGTGCGGCGCCGGGGGGCTCGTCGGGGGTTGGCTCACCAGAGAGCTCAGGTCATGGAGAGGGCGCGTCGCCGCCTATCAGCTCGGCCAGCATGCAGAAGCACTTCGGGCGGATGGTCTTGCAGGACACAAGCAAGTCGAGGTATATTAGCAGCGGATTCTGGTCCCGGGTCAGCGATGAGGTAATGCTCTCTTCCATCTAGCTATGTTCTGGTGAATATATTCAAAGCTAACCTTTCCCCCAGCTGGACGGCCTCAAGATGGATGCTGAGGGACTTGGGGGTGGAGATTCCGACTCATCTGAAGATGAGGACTCCTTGGGTAAGACGCCGTCCACGGTCGAGCTGGACCGAACGCCTTCCGAACGTCACGGGTTCATGTTCGGCCATAACCTGAGCAAATCTTCATCCAGCCTTCGCACCTATCGCCCTCTCCCATCACAGATACCCTTCCTGATCAGCACCTTCTCCGAGAATGTGAACTTGTTTGTCCAGACCGTACATATCCCCACCATTAACAAGATGATCCGCGATCTGCGAGGCAAGGACATGTCGAATCTAGGCCCGTCCTACGAGGCCTTGCTTTTTTCAATCTACTATGCAGCTATCACCTCTATGGAGGAAGATGATGTAAGTATTACCACCACTATGCCTGCCTGTCATCACATGTTTAACCAAATCCTTCTTACACTAGGTCCTCACAAACTTCGGCTCCACCAAATCAGAGCTCAATATCAAATACCGTCTTGGCCTGGAACACGCCCTCGCCAGAGCCGACTTCCTCAACTCCCCCGATGTGGTTCTCGTCCAAGCCTTCACCATCTTCCTTTTCCTCGTACGCCGCCATGACAGTCCCCGATTCGTCTGGATGATGGCCGGCCTCGTCATCCGAATGGCCCAGGCAATCGGCCTGCACCGTGACGGTGCCCACTTTGACTACCTAACCCCCTATGAGATTGAGATACGACGCAGGACGTGGTGGGGGCTCTGTGTTCTCGACATGCGCGCGTCTGAGGATCAAGGGACAGAGTTCACCATTACCAGCGGCAGTTTTGACACCAAGCTCCCACTAAACATCAACGACGCCGACATTGGCATCGACATCACCGATCCTCCCGTAGAGCGCCAAGGACACACCGACATGACCTTCTCCGTCGCCACATACGAGCTCTGCGAAGCCACACGCAACATGATGGCCCCCGGCGCTAACAAAACTCTCGAAGAGCAGACGAGCATCTTAAACAACCTCTACGACCACCTGCAACACCGCCACATCCGCTACATATCCCCAGACGGAAACATAGCCTACTGGGTCGGCGTCACGGCCACCCGCCTCGTCATCTCCAAGCTCACCCTCCTCCTCTACCTCCCCGCGCTCTTCTCCTCCCCCAGCGACAACTTCTCCGACGAGGTGCGCGACAAGCTCCTCGTCGCCGCCCTCGAGGTCGCCGAGTGGAACCACGCCCTCAACGCCGAGCAGGACGCCCGCCAGTGGCGCTGGATCTACCAGACGTACACGCACTGGCACGCCATCGTCTACCTCCTCCTCGAGGTGACCCGCCGCCCTCTGTCGCCCCTCGTCGAGCGGGCGTGGCTCGCCCTGCACAGCGTCTGGCTCATCCCCGACAAGCGGCCCGGCGCGGACAAGGGGCTGAGGATCTGGGTGCCCCTGCGGAAGCTGATGAGCAAGGCGCGGAAGCATCGCGAGGCGGAGCTGGCGAGGATGCGGAGCGACCCGGGGGCGATTGGGAGGGCGGAGATGAGCGATGCGCGGATCCCGGCGCCGGCGAGCCATGGGCCGTTTGCGGCTGATCAGAGTGAGGAGATGTTCAGGCAGCACTGGCGGGGGCTGTTTGGGATGTCGGGTACGGGAGGAGGGGAGGGTCGTCAGCCTGCCCCGGCTATTACTGTGCAAGACAGCAGCATGTCGGTTGGCGAGCCCGTTTCTGGGTCGTATGACATGGTTCCGGCTGGGTTTCCCCAGATGTCGTTTCTCCCTGGCAACGCCTCTCCGGGTAGCGTACACGGATCGGCCAACCAAGGGCAAATGATGGTGGCTGACGGTGCAGCTGCGTCGTCATACGGTGTGCCGGCTGTCACAGTTCCGGAGCTCATGGGTCCGGGGTTCACTCCTTGGTTGTGGAACGAGACCACGGAGTCGCTGGGTGACACTTATACTGGATTGGATATGGATATGGATGTTGATAGCAACGTTGACTGGAATAGCTGGCTCAATTCAGCCTCAGGGATGGAGTTGAACGTGGCGGCAGACCCGGCTCAGGGCGGCTCATGGCCCGCACCAGGGGCAGGTGGCTCAGCATAGATAGTCTATTCAAGCGTGTAAAATGCTTCATGAAAGTGAATATTTCGCTCTCTTCTTTTCACATCGTGCCCTATCAATATGTTGGAAGGCGGAGACTTAGAGAGCGCCGATGTCAACGTCATCTCTAGAAGCGCAACAACCACTACTGACTCGCTATGGCGAATGAGCTAAACCGAAATCTAGTGCCAAGCCTGTTAACGGCCATGGAAACCAGCGATACACATGGGAGTTATTGTTTCCCCACAGGAAAGTCTCGAGTTGCGTGGCTTAGCGCCCGAAGCTCGGGTGTGAGCTCGTAAACTCGGCTTATCTCGTGTTTCCTTCAATCCCATCCGCTTTTCGTTGCCCTGCATAGATATATAAAGTAAACAGCTATTTATTTATTGATTTATCATGCCCAAGTCTTTTTCTCTCTCTATAATCTCACCTTTTGCGTATCAATTCAGCTCCCCCCCCAAAAGACGCCCGAACACAGCTCACGATGAAGTCAGGACTCTTAGACCCGAAATGGAAGTTCCGCGAGCACATTATCCAACTGATACTCGTCACTCTCGTAATTATTCTTTGTGGAGTTTATTTGAGTATGCCTGGAGTCATTCCCGTGCGGTCGGAAATCATGGCAATACCCTTTGTATGCGGCCTGGCCAATTTCCAACTCCGAAGATACTTCAGCTTGGACCAGACGCTAACAAGAATCTTATAGTCCGTGAAATCAATCGTCATTATTGCCTATCAGCTGTTAACTGAGCACACGCAACGGTTCAGTAAATGGGCAAGCACAAAAGCGAATGCGATTCTGAACTGCCTTGAGACGGTCTTTTGGCTCACCTTGATCGTTCTGAAATTCATGGGAATATCCAGGACATGCACGGGTGGCAGTTGTGGTGTCAACGTGTTCCTGACTTTAGTGATAATGGTGGTCTTGTAAGTGCCTAAGATGAACTTCCTCCCGAGCATATTCTAGTACGACCTTATCTAACCCTTCATAGCGTCCTGACTGTTCACGTTGCCGTCCTTTCGGTGATTGAGCGACGTAACTTTAAGAGGTATGGCAAATAGGACTTAGCCATCTAAGAACATTGAAGGAAATCTGTAAATGTCGGGTTGACACGGACGATGCCAAGTCTATTTCAGCTCTCAAGGCCATGGTCTGAGGGAAAGCCAAGCACTGTATCTGGCGGTCGGAGCACATGAATGAATGATAGGGCCATAGAAGGGATTATAGCGTTATTGCCAATTGCCATTTCTAGATTTGTATGAGCATTTCAACCTGATACTGGGTTTGGCCCGCAAAACGGAGTCATCATCTATCCTCTATTATCGTTTTCCCCTAAAAATCATGCCTAGACGTGTCCCGTGGACGCTAATATATAAACCTTTTCATGATACATATGATACAAACTCGCGCCCGTTACTCATCCACCTTCAATAACCAGGCGTGTAGTGTAGCCTGGCTCGCAGATGGCCGATTCCCCGGAGCAGGGGCCATTAATTGTTCCAAGAAATTCGAGCATTCCTTGCTTATCCCAGCCTCGCTCAATAGTCGACTTGGGAACGGCGCTTTCCGGAGCACATAGTTCCACAGCCTCCGCGGCTTGCTGAAAGCTCCCTGGTTGGTGAGCAGCTGGTAGATGATGGCACCCAGCGCCCACAGGTCGACGGCGGCGGTGTAGGTCTCCTCCTTTTCGCTTCGGTCGTCATCTTCGTCGTCTTTGCCGTCTGAATCGTTATCATCAGGGCTGAATATGCCAAGTATTTCTGGAGCCAGGTAACTCCTGGTTCCGACGATGGTGCGGAAGTTGGTTGAGATCTCCTCGGCCTTCCGCGATATTCCAAAATCGCTTAATTTGACCCACCAGCATGGTCCTTGTTCTGATACTAAGATATTCTGTTGGTTGTTAGCTTTTTTCGAAAGACAAGGAGGATAGTAGGACAACTAACACCAGGCTTGAGATCTCCATGGATAAACCCGTTTTCATGCATATATGATAAGCCCTCCAGCAGTTGAGTCGTAATAAGCTTGACCTCTGTCTCTGGAAAGGCCCGTGTAAGAAATTTCCCTAAATCTCCATTTTCCAAATACTCCATCGCTGTAAATAACGTAGTCGTGTTTTCATACCAACCCAATGACTGAACAAAGCAATGCACATACTATGGAAGGTCAGTCAGTCGCGATGCCAAACTGGTTCAGTACTATGAAACTCACTTTTGAATGAGAGAACTTGGCCATTGCCTCTAGTTCTCGATCGTAGTTTAGCTGCTGACCCCTGTTGGTTTTTGAAATCTCCCTCACGGCACGAAGATTCCCCCGCTCCTCTTCGTTGATGGATTCTTCGAGCCACACACGCCCGTACGTGCCGGTGCTCAACTCCCAGCACCGTTTCCATCTGTGTTCCCGTTTCACTCGGCGTTGGCGAGTAGCGATACTGGACTCGTAGGATGTATGGGATACCGTTCCGTCGTCTGCGAACACCGTCTCTAACTTGGAGTCGCTCACAAGATCTGACACTATCCGTCGAGTGGGCATGTAGCGAGCCGGGCTGGAGTATTTGTACTCTCTCGAGGTGGTTACAGATTCACTCCTGTCGCTCACGGATGAGATACTGTCCACCTTTGATGCTATCATATAATTTGATATATGGTTCACAGGCGTGGGTGTATATCCTTGTTGAGAGTGCGCCTGCTGGACAAGAGACGAGCTGGACCGCGTCGGTCTGGTTCGTGCAATCGATCCTTTTCTCAGCGGCCCGACGTTGACATACCGCGCTTGATCAACTACGACGGGCTCCTCATTTGATCTGTGGGGGTTGTTCCTCAACTCCATCAGACTCTGCGACCTCATTGAATGGCGATGTCTCTTGGACTGGCGTCTTTGCGCCGGAGAAGGAAGCCCAGATCCACTGACTGGCGGCGTGATTGACGATGCGTCTGATGGTGGTTGTCTCGGAGAGATGAGGGAGTTGACAGAAATGGCAGAAACGGCATCATCTGCTGGCCAGGGCTCCCTCTCCCCCAGCGAGAGGCTCGAGAGGGAGATTCCAAGGCCAAGGTCACGAGGGAGAGGGTCGAGGCTGGGGACAGGCGGCTCTTCTCGCCCATCATGTGCTAAGGGCCCCAGAGGCCAGGGAAGTTTCGCCTGCAGCCCGTCGTTGGAGGAGTTATCAACAGCCGTACTGGGACGACGCAGAATTTTGGACTGGAATCCGTTGCGGTCATCCGCTGAGGTGCTGGGGCGAATTGATTCTGCAATGGAGGACCCGTTCCTTACATGGCGGCTTCTCAACATTTCAGAAAGATCCCGAGAGTGATTAATGGGCTCTATTGGGGTTGGATTGATCTCAAATTCCGTAGTCGGAGCTGAGTGGTTGGTGTTGAGCTCCTTCAGATCCTTGGGCATGGTGAGGCTCGGGGCATTCTCCAACGATGAGTACTTGGCGAACGACTCAGTCGTCAAGGGCGTGGTCTCCAGAAATGGGTTGGGCGACAGCGTAACGCGAAACATCCAGGAGCTGGGGTTCCGCTTCTCAAACGGGAGCAGCTCATCTTGGCGACTCAGGATGTCGAGGATGTGATTCGACTCCTTCTCAATGAGCCTGATGCCGTGCAGCGTGTCATGGTACTGCTGCCTCTCGTCTGTTTGAAGATCCGAGAACAGCGACTTGTTGAAACTGGCCCATGGCAGGAACTCGTCACAGCCGACATGCAGACAGTAGTCGACGACTTGCAGCGCCTTGAAAATCTGCCGCCACTTGCCGTCGGTGCTGGACAGACAGCGTTTCAGAATCTGGTAGATGACATGTCGCTGTGCGGTGCTGGCAGGGATCGTGTCCGGTCAGTATCTGAGACGGGCCCGGCAGTGAGATGTGAGGGCGAGAGAAGAGAGGCCGGTGAGAGGAAAGTAAGCAGACACACACATACCGAAGGGTCATCTGGGCAATCTCGACGAGTTTGTCCAGGCTAGGAGGATAGTCATCGTCCTGGACGACGCCAAGGACGACCCGCTGTGGGTAGCCCAGGAGAAACTCGGGCGACGTCTCAACCTCGACATCTGCCCCTTTTGGGGCCGTTGTAGACGACGCGGGATCCGACATGCCGCATTCCAGTGGTGGCTTGCTTGCTCACAGTGCGCAATGGGACCGACCGCGGAGGAGGTTGAGGTTTGTCCGGGCGGAGGGCAGCAGCAATCGTTCGGACGGAGCTCGCATGTCGCGACACGACACGACACGTGCAGCCTTGAATTTCCCGCAACCGAGAGAGGAAGAAAGAGAGTAGGGAACGGTCGGTGCAGAGTGTTAAATTGAGATCAGTGGCGGCACCTGAAATTTAGGAGCGGGCACTACATGAAAGGAAATTAAGGTGACAGGGAATCGTCTGGGGTCACTCCCCCCCAAATGGCACTGTCAGCGTGTTAGTCATCAATAGCATTGCTATATTAGAACTCCTGCTGTGCTCCTGTCTAAATATAATCGTGCTCGAGCCTTGGGATGCCTATTGCGGCCAGAAGAGAGGCACAGATCGCCAAATCGAGCCTCCAGCGTCGCATTATCGTCTTCCTCTTTGGGTAGAGAGGTGGCCAATTTGCCACATCTCAACTCCTTTTGCGACGATGGTGAACACGTTCCTTGATGTAAGCAGGACTGACGGTCAGCAGTGGATTGTCACTGCAACATGTAATCTGGGGGCCAATGAGTTTAGGCTGTATGCTCACCAAAGCACCATTACTCATGCGGCGAGTCTGGCTGTCCAAAAGATCTTGCCATTCAAATCAATGCCTTCAGCAAGCTCACCTTATTTTGCTATGGAAATGTGTGTCTGAAGCGCTAGTCTGGGCGAAGCAGTTGGAAGAGCCGGTGTTTCAGGGGGAGGGGCAACTCGGAGGGTGATTGGCTGTGGGTGCAAACCGATATCCATCAAGGAAGTACTGGAATTGATTATTACCGAAGCGGGCCATCTTTGTGCTCATATCTGCACATCATTCGCCAATGGATCTGTTGTTTTGCGCAATCGCAGCTGCCATATCCGGGAATGAGAAGATCATCACTTCATGGGGTTTTCCAAGGTGGCCTCAAGCGCTGCGCCCGAGGTCTCCTTGTCACCGATTAGTATTCTTTTTCCCCTCGAGCTGCTCTTAGTTGCTCGATTGATAGCGTGTTTCCGCTGATAATAGGATGGTGAGTAGACTTAATAGAGTGACATGATGTGGCACTACCCCTTTCCAAATAGTGGCCGAGCGGGATGCAAGGTCAAGGGGAGTAGTAGAACAACAAGAATTAACCTAGACCATCTTGTTTTTCAAAGCAGTGGTCAGAAAGCCTTGGGTTTTCCTTCATATATTTAGCCAGAGCCTAGGTAATTGCGCAAGCGTTTCCAAAGGTGAAGCTCCCAGTGCTAGTCTGTTTAGCAACTCCAATGTTCTATCGCATCATGCGACTCGCTTGTGAGATTGACCATCTCACTTAGCGATTGAATCTGCGAGCATCAATATGCGGAATCCTTAAACAAACGATTCGGTCATTTAAGCCCCTAATTACACGCAGTGGTAAAAAAAAAAAGCCCTGCTGGAACATGCAAATGAGAAAATTTGAGTACACTAGTGTGAGCGTCAATTCGAGAAGGTAATGTGAGACAACACCCAATTCATGCGGTTGACTCCAGATACCACTACGTCCAACACTGAAAGCGATACCCTATACCTGGTCTAAAAGCTGGGCGTTTCATAGTGTAAGGCATTTACACATGATTCCGGTATGAATTTATTGACCTGTAGTGTGAAAGAAAAGGGAAAAGGGGAATGAGATATAACTCCTGGCTATGATGCGTTGTTGTAAGTTGAGTGGTCTGAAACTCAAAGGTAGTGGTCGCTAATGGCTGGACTTATCTTAAGAGTTGAGATGGATATGCTTGGGTTTCATGGGGGAGCCTGGTGTCGTTTGTGATGTGAAGACGTTTGCAGTATGTCACCATGGCTCTTTCGTTCCGGGGACTGTGTGCCCTATCGTTCTAATGATCTTGAAGATGTGCTGCCCTGGCGTTATTCTGGCTTCCCACTATCTTCAGAGCGAAAGAATACATCAATGTATGAGAGATTCCATGCCACATGTACAATTGGTCCTTTGGCCTCGACTTTACGTATAAGCGATGTGATTGGTGGCCAGTGTGACTCGGATGGCAGTTTTAAGAAGCTTTTCTGTAGATGAAGTTCAAATTTAACCATTCACTGGGTGAAAAATCAATGCAGGAGGATGCTAGAACAATATAGAAACACTGCCCGCTTAGCTGGGAGAAATTTAGCTGCCCCCTGTTGCTCATGTTGGACATTGCTTAGGCTGAATAGCGCATTCTAGAAAGTTGTGCCGTAGGACTGGGTAGCACTTGAGGTAAACTGAACTGCTTTGGCATTTAACACATGCTAACTATGGTTCTGTTAAGCTTCCAACCTGTTCGCCAACGTGTTCAAGGTTGGGACATGCGGCTGGCCGCTTACCACCATATGAATCTAGCATTCAAGACTCCTATACGGATATCGGCAAAAAAGGTTTCTTAACTAACGGCTAGTTAAAATCCACCTCGGAAATTTAATCTACCTCATTTCTTGTGCTTGTTCCTGAGATCAGAGCTTCATCATGGCTGCCCCTCGCGATTCCACATTATCTAAGTTGCCGTGACTAGCGGTTTTATCAGGCGAGAGGCTCAAGTCCATGATATTTAGATGAATGCTCCAGAGAGATGACTACAAACTACACTGGGCTGGGTGAAAAGTCGCAATGAGCTTCGGGGTAGACATTTATACCCGGGGCAAGTCGCGAATATAGGTAGTCCGATGCATGCCAAGGGCTACTATTCTTTTCTACTGGCACTAGTAATGGCCATCGATGACGGTTCCTTGATTAAGGGAAGAGGCACACACGTGCTCACATGTAGTATTTGATCGCCAAGCCTTGTATTTGCTGGGTGATAGCGGTTTTGCGTCGTTCCTTGATCCGATCTGCCGCTTTTCCGGCCCAGGCGCTAGCAAACCGGCCGGCGTCAACGGGAATTAGATAGACTGCCCTCTTCTGGCGACACGGGGACTCAGCACGGATCCCGATTGGAGACTTTGGGATTTAGACGGGCTCAAGGCTACACCTCGAATAGGAAGCTGCCAACTGCTCATCAACAATCGATCCAATATCTCGGTAACAATGGAAGAGCTTCAGAGTAGACGTCGATAGAGTATAAAATAAGGACGAGTATACCATGGATTCCCCTGATTTGGAACCGTCCCGGTACCCGTCCCCTGTTGGTTCCCCGGGTGTGAGAAGTTGATCTCGTTCACTCTCTCTTTCTTTGCTCTCTTCACCTACACGCTCGCTTCTATATACGCTCATTCTTATTTTCACTGCCTGGTTCGTCCATCCATTCTTTTTCCTCTCCCCTGCGCAAGATGCAGATTCTCGTGGCAACACTTGCTCTTGTGGCAGCGGCGCAAGCCACGACCATCAACGCCATCAACGGCAGGAACTTCCTGTCGCCATTCAACGGGCAGTCGGTGACCAATGTCACTGGAATTGTGACAGCCAAGACCTCCACCGGGCTATATCTCCGTGCTCCAAGGCGGACTTGCGACAAGCGCATAGGCACTGGACTCTATGTCTTCAGCTCCACGCTTGGCAAGAATGCCTCGATCTCGGTGGGTGACACCCTCGTCTTGGACGGTAAAGTCACCGAATACCGTTCAAATACGGCCTACCTCTACTCGACCGAGCTGGAGTCACCCGTGGTGCAGGGATGGGTCAAGGGCACCACCACCCCCAAGCCGCGGGTCATTGGTAGGGATACGCGCAACCCTCCCACAGAGCAATACTCGGTCCTCGACAACGGCGACATCTTTGGCGTTCCAAACAACGTCAGCCAGGTGTCTGTAGCCAACCCGGAGCTGCAGCCCGACAAGTACGGCCTGGACTTCTGGAAGATGTTGAACGGAGAGCTGGTTACCATCCAAAGCCCCATCGCTGTCTCCAAGCCCAACACGTATGGCGAGACGTGGATGATCGGTAACTGGCCAACCACCGGCCAAAACGAACGCGGAGGCCTGACTCTTGGTGACAAGGATGCCAACCCCGAGGCGATCATAATTGGTTCCCCTCTCGATGGCTCTAAGGGGATAACCACCTCCCGCATTGGAGACAAGTTCGAAGATATCACTGGTGTCGTTCACTATCAGTTCGGCTTCTACTATATCTTGCCTTTGACCGCAATCAAGACTGTATCCTCTCTCTCTCCCGCCCTACCTCCCCCGACATCTCTCATCAGCACTGGCGAATGTTCCGGCTTGACTGTGGGTGACTACAACATTGAGAACTTTGCTCCTTCGGACACGGCCCATGTCAATGATGTCGCTGCCCACATTGTCAACTACATGAAGTCCCCTGACGTCCTGTTCATCCAGGAAGTCCAGGACAACAACGGCGCCACCAACAACGGCGAAGTAGACTCCTCCTTGACCTTGAGCACCCTCACTGCGGCTATCACCAAGCTTGGCGGCGTCAACTACTCCTACACCTGGATCAACCCGGTCAACAATGCTGACGGTGGCCAGCCCGGAGGCAACATTCGTCAGGCGTACCTTTACAACCCCAATATTGTTCGTCTGCACAACGAGAACGCTGGCAGTGCTACCGATGCGAACGCAGTCGTGAAGGGCGCCAACGGTAGCCCGACGCTCAAGTATAACCCAGGTCGCATCGACCCAGCCAATGCTGCATGGGTATCGAGCCGCAAGCCCCTCGTCGCTGAGTGGCAGACCGTCGTTGGGAACCACGTTTTCTTCACCGTCAACGTGCACTGGGAGTCCAAGGGCGGTAGCTCTAGTCTCCAGGGCGATCTCCGCCCTCCTGTCAACTCGCCCGTCGAGAAGCGCACCCAGCAGGCTAACCTTACGGGTAGCTTCATCGCTGATATCTTGGCCATCGACAGCGATGCCCGTGTCATCATGGCTGGTGACTTGAATGAGTACTCGGTGGTCCAGCCCGTCAAGACCTTCACTTCCGTGTCGTCCATGGTCGATCTTGATGTGGCCGCCGGTATCCCCGTCAATGAGCGATACACCTACACTTTCGGCGCGGATATGGAGGAGCTCGACCACCTCTTCGTCAGCCCCGCCATTGCCAACCTCCAGCCCCTCGAGGAGCATATCCACGTCAACACATGGGTGTCGTACGCCGACCAGGTGTCTGACCACGATCCGACGGTGGCCAAGATCAACGTCTGCGGTAAGAATGTTGCGTCGTCCGACGTCACCTCGTCAGCTTCGTCTACTCCCGCTGCCACTCCTAGTAGCACACCCACGCCCATGTCGTCGGGCATCAGCACTCCAGCCACCACAGCGGCATCAGGAACAAAGACCACAACCCCGGCATCCTCCTCCGTCTCAGCCACAGCTACTCCCATCGCCTCGGGCAAGGCCCTCTCCGGACGGGGCAACGTCCTGGCATCCACGCCTGGTGAAGCGAACGGTGGGCGACTCCTCACCTCCGGCAACTGGTACCGCGCCGGCGGCACCGCAGCCATCTTCACAGCAACCCCCAACGTCGACGGCGTCACCTTCACCCTCCAGTCGTCCAAGGGCAAGTGCGCCATCATCGCCGACATGTCCATCTTCTGCGACTCCAGCGTGACCCTCGGCAGCAGCTTCGGCTGGGACGGCGCGTACGTGACGTACCTGGGGGCCAATACCTTCTACGCCACGGAGCTGCCTACTGGCAGCGGGAATACCAAGGTGTACATGGTGCAGAAGGCTCTGACGCTGCAGCTTACTTGGTCTGCGGTCTAGGGGTTGCTTGGCTTAGTTGAATGGGATTGACGTTCAGGGCGAGACTCAGGTACTGGTTTTGATGTCTGATTTGACTTAATTTTCTGTTTACCTGATAGATTCATGTATATATTAGTTGTCACGTCTAATGGTAATTGACATCAGTCACAAGATGATTTTCACGCCCACAGTTGCACTGTTATGATGTCTGATATAATGTCTCATTTTTATCTATAGCCGTAGCTTTCTGTAATGTCTGGTCTAACGTCCAATCTTAATTGCACCTTAATTGCACCTCGACTGTTTAGTTGTTGTATGCTAACTTTGATTTTGTCTACTATGGTGTTGGCCTGGGCTCTTATGCCAAATGTGCACCTCCCTCCCACCAATCCACTACAGCAGCTGAAAACAGCTGATCATCTTCCGTAGTATAGTGGTCAGTATGCAAGCTTGTCACGCTTGAGACCCGGGTTCAATTCCCGGCGGGAGAGTCCGCCAACCGGTTCAACCGGTTCGTTTTTTTTGCCTTTTTTTTTGTTGCTCAATTCCAAATATCTACAACTCTTGCACGTCTGTGTGCCAGGCAGGGATCTCTGTGAGGTACTTGGGCGCAATTGAATTCTCCCATTTTGTGTTTCTGGGCTTGGGATAGCGATTGCCATGCGAACTATCGTAATCTGGTCCCATGACAAATTTCTCCAAGACGGTTTCCAACTTCCAGAAAATACTGAAAGATAGGTGGAAATCTCGGAGGTCGGGGAGCAATTCTTTGACGGTACGCACGATATCGACGTAAGCGTTGTAGTCGTGTCGCCTGATGTCTTTCCTGTCCTCCTCGCTTAACCTCATGGCACTCGCTCCACAATCCCTCGCAGTTATTGATATCAGCATGTTAGAGGGGTTGCAATATTTGCCAAGGAAGGATATGAGCTCTCGCCATTGAGATCGGGCATGGACAGGTGGCTGCTCCCATAGAAGGATCTTTTGGGCATCTAGGTCAAAGGTGATGCGCCTTAGTCGCTTCAGTAACTGAACTGGCATTTTGTCAAGCACCGACAAGGTCTTTGAAAAATGGCCTTGAAAATGGAATTGAAATTCCGAATAGAATATCTCAGAGGCATCCAAATACATCTGCCGGCTGATAAGAAATAACTCCAGGGGATGGAAGTCGGTCAAGGGATATCGATTGTCGAACTTCCCATTAAGAACTCGGATCGTGCGCGCATCTGGGATAGAGTCGTTACTAGGGCCCGTAATTGTGTACCGAAGAATCTCAAGACGTATCTCCCGCGGTAGATCAAAGAAATAAATCCTTTTGCGGATCTTAGGGGGCAAGCGGAGTAACGGCGGCGTTGATTGTTGACGCATTGTGCTTAGCTGCGCAAGACCGGGGTGCAATGGCAGATTTAAGACCATGACGCAGGTATTTTGTTGGTTAGTTGTTTATGATGAGAATTTGGCAAATAGATTCACACCTTTTGAAGTGTTTCTGGAGTTTATGCCTATTAACTAGTCCAGTCGACTGTCAGGAGCTTGGCGCATTACACTCGACTTATATCAAGAGCCTTGACAAAGAGAGTAAATAAAATAAATCCTTGCTGTTTAGGTCCGACCGTGCAAAGCTGGTATAAAGTTGCCAATCAACTAGCTAGAGGACGCTTTAAGCTTAGAGGGCGCTTTCGGTGAAGTCAACAAGAAGGCGACCATTAGTGAGGACAACAGCTCTGAGAGTACCAACAACAATGGTTGATTTGATTAAAACGCATCGTTACAACTCATTTAGCTTGAATGTCATTTTCAGGTATTGCCAATTCCCGATTGAACATCTTAACCCTTTATACACAACTCAAAAGTGAGCAGATTTCAACAGGTCTTTGCGCAAACCGTTTACTGTTTGATGAATCGCGACTTGACTGGCCCAACATTGTTTCTTTCTCTTGTGGTCTGATTAAGGGGACTGATGGAATATGTGACAAAACACCTAGGTTAAGTTATCACTGGCGTGATGGACACTATACCAACCTGGATCCTAGCTTGGCCCGATATTGTGTCACAAAGTATTGCAATCGATTTAACAATGGCTCATTTTGCTGAGACTATATAATTGGTCTACTTGAACTGAACATACCCCTGGCCCTTAACAAAGGTGGCGTGCCATGGAATCTGCCCCTCATGGGTACTCAACTCAAGGTAGAATTCACCATGTGCATCGCCATCGATTTCCGTCGAGACAGGTTGACCATCGCTCTTTCGTTCGTCCGTGTAAAAGAATCTAAACAGCTAGGGTTAGCTCACTTCCGTTCGAGATCTCCTTTGGAGCCTGATGAGCTGCCTGTATATGCTTACCGGAATCCCTTTGTCGCGTACGATGCGTCTGCCACCCCCACCCAAAATGCTGAAGCAGCCTTGCCCATGCCCAAATCCAGCACTCTTGGAGCTGGGATAACCGAGACATTCAATATATTACCAGTGTATATGAAGGTCTTCTTGATGTCAGACGGAAGCTCCTTCCAATGGTGGATTGATTGCTGAGCCGCAACATAAGGGCTGATAGTGTTGACATTCAGATCCGATGCAACTGTGTCGAATGGGATGGACAAGATAGAATCCTCATCAGGAGGAATAGTCAGACTGGCGGCATTGTACACCACAACATTAGGTGAGGCATGGAATTCCTTTCTCACGGCTTCAAATAGGGGCGCGATTGATTCGGGATTGGTGAAATCCGCCTTGAGCGAGAGATAACCGTCCGAGTTCTTGGTCCCAGTTCCATGCCTCGAGGCAATGGCTACTTGGTAGCCTTTGCTGGCGAATGCCTTGGCAACAGAAGCGCCAACTCGTGGGCCGGAGCCAAGAATAAGTGCTATTGAAGTTGGTGCCATGGTACCGCTGAGGTTTGATAAAATACCAGGTTGTATTGTATGATCTTATGAGTGCGTGCTGGAAAAGCCGCTGGAAAATACATGTCACGATGATAGGAGGTGGTACATATAAGACCTTATGGAATCATGAACACTCTTAGGAGACCTTGAAACGCTCAAAAGAATGACATTGTATTAGAAATACAATACGCTGTTGCTATTTCAAAGCTGTTGATTGGTAATCGCATAATCGCACCAATGAACTTCAATCTGCTTAGAATTCGTCATTTCACCCAGGAATGAACAATCAAGTATAGCAAGCGTATGAATCCTTGCGAATTGGAACCCTATACCTCGCTATAGTTTCATGACTAATTACATCCCACTCGAGTGGGATACAACTGTCTTGGGTGAAAAGGTGGGTGTTTGGCTTGTGAGGGATCATTCTCTGTCTCTTGATTCTGAATCATACCACTGGGCAAAGAGTTTCCATCAGTTACTTCACAAAGAAAAGGCATTAAGCAGTCATATTCCTAATTTTGGAGCTGTCGGTTCTCTTAAACCAAGGACATTGGGGGCTTTTCTTGAGGGCAGTGAGAGAACGATATAGAGTCCATGAGAAGTAGTATTACCACAGTCTACAAATCTATAGAAAAGAAAAAACAGTTACGATCGGCGGGGTCAACATCTATCAAGACTGCTCTCTCTTGCACTTTATATATAGTAGAACTAATTGTGCGGGGTAATCAGAACACCCCTTGCGCTGACAGTACACGCTCGTTTCCAGTTCGCCTTCATTAGTCTTTCATAAACACCTGATTGGAAACCAAAAGGGGGTTAGATAATAGCCCAACTTAGGATCTCGAGGTATAACTCTCACTGCCCTTAACTGAAGGACGATTCGTTTCACTTTCCCCTTTGTCCGCGTGACCTGATGCTTGGCCCTCGGAATTCGGCTGGCAAAATGTAATCCGTGTGGTCATGCTTTACTTATTTCTGAGGGTTGATCCATTTGCGGAAGCAGCTGCATGAATTATTAAATGCCAAGGCACGTATTCAGTATATCGCTTGGAGACTTTCGCTTATTTTTGCAAACCGATTGCATTTAGGGAAGGCCGCATTTAAGACCTCGAATGGGGTATTCGTATCTCTCCACACACACTTATCCTCATGGGAGCGATTGAGGCTGAATGCTTCGAAGGATTGAATATTGATTGATCACGAGATTAGAGCACTGAAATGGCAATAGGTGTTTCCCCTCATGTAAGCAAAGTTTGTAGAAAGGAGGTCGGAAAGGTTAATAAGCTGCATATCATTCAGCTAAGCTGAAACATGAATCCCTGGACAGATGAATACGGTTCAATATTTTATACATTAGCTTCGCGCTAGAGCCATTCAAGTCATTATATAGCGATGCGGGTACTTTGGGTCTTCGCTCAGAGGGAAGCTCGTATTGCTTGATCGAGCTATATATATTCCACCACGTAGAATCGCCGGTCTCCCCAAGCCCGAGGTTGAGAGAACCCAAAACCATATAGACACCTTCACCAAGACCCTCAAGGCTTGAACATGTTTATCTACGCTGCAACTCTCCTTCTCTTGGCCCTTCCTTCTGTTACAGGCACTTGCCACGCGGACAACTGCTATCGTGCAATCAAGTCCTATCAGACGGCAACAGTAACTGAGTTCTGTAGCAAGTACCTTGATCAGTACGTCGGTTCCTTGTCTCTGAAATCGCCCCAAAAGCCAACTGATTTGATGCAGTGCAACTGTAGCGCCCTCCCAATTCGCATCTTGTGGCCCCTCCAGGCTCTCCAGTGCGTGTAGCTGTCTTGGCTCAAGCACTTCCACCTCCGTTCCAAGCACCACCACTTCTCCAACCCCAATAGAATTAATTTCTAACGGTGGCTTCGAATCTGGAAATACTAGCCCATGGGTGGTTACGCCTGGTTCGGGCTACGTGAGGATAACCGACAACGAGGAAAGTACGGTCAACTTTCCGTTCGAAGCTCACAGCGGCGTTAAATTCGCGTAAGCAGATCTCTTTTTCAACTCCTGGGATGCATGTTTCAAGCTGACATGTATGCGGAAACAGCCAAATCGGTAATAGCGGTGATGAGAACCCCACAGTCCTTTCTCAGTCTGTCAGCTTGACAAGCGGGATAAACTACTCCTTCAAAGCGTTCTATAGTGTGCTGGATCTACCGCTGAGTAGCTGTTACTTACAGGCTTCCATCAACGCGAATTCCTTCGCGCTGGCGACCATTTACTCTGGCGCGGGAGGAGGCAACCCGCCTCGTTACTATCTGCTATCGGGGACTTTCACAGCTTCAGCCACAGGAATAAGCAATCTGGCTGTGGCACTGTGGTGTGATTATTCTAGTATAGGGGGTGTCTTTGGCCTAGACGATGTTAGCCTGCTCTAAAGCCATAACGTTTAGCTACTATTATAATCCAACACACAACATGATGGGAACCTGGAGTTTCGTGACCACCGTTATTGTTCATTACATAGTATTTACCAACAGCATTGACTAAATTCTACTAAGCTAGGGCATTGGAAGTAGGCAAGAAATAGTACAAACAAACTCTGTGGCCCTAATGATTCAAAGCGATCGCATGCTGTCCTCCATTTGTACGGGTTCTCCCTCCATCTCTAAACCGGCCCTGTACTTTTTGGAACCCTGTGTATCAGTTGCAGAATTTAAATGGGGTTGTGTAAGCATTGAGGCAATTCATGAGAGGCGGAGATAAGCTGGGATATACCCTCCGCCAACAAGACATTAGCGCGCTCAACATTTTCTGACATGCCTAGATAATGAGCTTGCAACCCTTTTAAGAGACCTCTATTCTGCCTGGATATTTTGTTCTTTGTGATTATTGTTAGAAGAAGTTCTTCAGCGAACGACATAATGGCTGAAAAGCACTTCAAAGTTATTATCGCGGGTGGTGGCATCGCCGGCCTCGGCCTCGCCAACATGCTGGAGATGGCCGGGATTGACTGGGTTCTGCTCGAATCACACAACGAAATTGCACCGCAAGTCGGAGCCAGCATTGGACTGTTCCCAAATGGGTTGCGAATCCTTGACCAGATAGGTGTCTATGAGGCTATTCGAGCTACATGGGGTTACCATCCGATGAGCAACACCAACCGCGACGCCAAGGGTCGAGTTATATGCTTCAGTCCGGCGATGGGCGATCGTCTCGAGGAGCGTCACGGGTACCCTTTTATTTTCATCGATCGACGAAGCCTTCTCGAAATCCTGTTCGATAACCTGAAACACAAGGACAGGGTTCACCTCAGAAAGAAGGTTGCAAATGTGGATATGGGGGAGCATGGCGTTCAGGTTACTACTGCCGATGGAGAGACGTTTGAAGGTGACATTCTGGTGGGCGCAGATGGTGTTCACAGCAGAGTAAGAGAGGAGATGTGGCGTATCGGTGAACAGATCCAACCAGGGGTCTTCCTCAAGGACCGGGAATCTCGTAGGATCCCCCCAACAAATACACAAAATGCCGAGAAAAGCTGACGTGGAACGCGAACCTAGTAGTTTCCTGCCGATACAAATGCGTCTTTGGAATTTCCGAGATGTCCGAGGGCCTCGATTCCAACGAATTCGTCTGTGGAGATGGGCATTCATATCTCATATGCCCAGGGCCAGGTAAACGGACATACTGGTTTCTGTTTGTGAACACGGGCAATGGCTTGGTGAGAAAAGACCAGATACCCCGGTATACGAAAGAAGAGGAGGCCTCACTTGTCCAGAAACACCTACGTGATCCGATTTCTGGGAGACATACTTTCGGCGATCTCTATGAGAGTCGCCTTTACTCTACTCTCACTCCCCTCGTGGAGCATGTTTTCAAGCGTTGGCACTTTGGCAGAATCATGCTGTTGGGAGATTCGGCCCACAAGGTGACCGCCCGGAAGGACCCTCCGTTGGTTTCCCTCGGCTGACAGGATTGATACAGCATAACCCTATCGCAGGGCAGGGGGGCATGTCAGCTCTTGAGTCTGGGGCCGCGTTTGTCAACGAGCTTCAAAGTTTACTCAAACGAAACAATCCGAGAACCATATCGAACAAAGAATATGATTCCATGCTTACACGGACGCAACGCCGCTTTGAGACCCGCGTAAAGGGGTTGGTCAAAGCTGCTAACGACCAACAGAGGCTCCTAGCGAATGACCATCCTATGTCAGGCTTGGTCCCTGGGTTTCTTGGGACGTTCGGCGGGCTTGAATATGATCTGAGACATCTTAAAAAGAGAGTAGTAGGCGCAATCAGCCTTCGCGATTTCCCGCCGCCCAAACGACCACGGCTTGTTCCGTTTACTGATGAGTTGCCTGCGCGACCTATTCGCAAGATGTGGATGTTGAAATGGCTGTCTATCATGGTGACGGGTTACATCCTCTTTTGTTCAAGAGAACTGTACAACCTCTCAGCTCTGTGGAGTAGCTTTGACGATGTTGTAGGATGGGGGTTACAACAGACAAATGTGAGCGTTCTGATGGACCAAATTCGGTCAACAGTGATGCCCACCTACTCTCACCTGAATCCAGAACATGATCTCAACAAAACCGTGGCATTCATTGAAACAGCATTAATTCTGATATCTCTGGTTGCTATTTGGACGATCGAAGGTTCTCGACTTGGTCACCAAAGAAGTATTATTCGCTGGTATGTCTACATCTTCTAACCGCTTAATAAACGAAAAGACTTCTGACTCATTCAAGGCCCATTATGTTCTGGGTTGCTCTCAAGATGAAAGGTCTTGGTTGGACAACCTCTCTATACTTTATTTTTCATATGGCGTTTGGTAGCCAGACAATTATTGGACGACCAGTACCGTCCCCTGCTGTCAAGGCGGCCAATCTGGCTCTCTTCATTATCTATTTAGTCGCTACTGCGCTAATGGTGGTACCAAATTTCAAAGAGCAATCAGTTCGGATTTCGTCCGACTTTTTGCAATCCATTCCTGTGTACACCGGGGTACTGACAGCACTGATTTCGGCCCTCTCTTCCCAATTTACCCGCACCGAAGGACTGGAACATTCCCAGTCGACTTCAAAAAGGGGCGTCTCTGACAAGAGTGCCGTCGTTGGTATACCCAATCGCGACGTTGTGTATCTCAACAGATTATACATCCTCTTGTACGTCTCCTTGGGTACAATCCACCTTGGAACGGTGATTTTCGCTGCTGTGCAGCTGAAAGAGTATTTTTCTGGCATCCTGCAGTCGTCAGGCCTTCCTTTTCTCGGGTCTATGCCTGATACTTCCGAAGGCGCATACAGCCAGTTGATCTGGGATCTCGCCTTTGCTTCGGCATCCCTCTTCATTTTCTTGCTTCATACTGTCTGGAATCTCCGCGGCACGGGGTGTATATTAACATTGCATGCATTCAAAGTAACCGCGATGGTCTTAGTCGGCCAAATCATTGCTGGACCCGGTGCAACTTATGCTGCTCTATGGCACTGGCGGGAGAATCTGCTCTCAGGATTGTCGGAACAGTACTATTGAAGACCGAAGACTGAAGACCCAGGCGGCATGGACATTTCTTCGATATCTGCTGGCGTGCATAAAGTGTAATCTGGTTTCATTGCAATATTTCAATGTGTGACTACACCTAAAGCCACTGGTGTCATTAAACACCCACTCTTATGTAGTTAAAGACAAAGGAAAAAGATCCATCTAAATGAGCGTTGGTTTGATAAACCGTGGTGATATAAAAGTCCCCCTCTCCCGATGCGACTATTCGTTACATTGACCATTCTCGGCCTTCCACCCATTTGCATTTGTTCTAGTTGTGACATCCCGCTTCTCCAGGGCGCCGAGGAAAAACTCACATAACTGCAGTGAAGATAATAACAGTTAGTGTATAGATAATAACATTCATGAACAGTGTAAGACTTGCCTTTCTGGTAGGCCCATGTGTCTGTTCAGGCTCTTGCCCAAATTCCATCAGCTCACTAAGGGTCTCCGTAACAGAGTATATCAAGTCTTTGGCTCCTTTGTGCTTCTTGATACCGTTTGCAAGCTCTCCACGCTCAGAGTCGCCGGCTAGTTCCGACATGACAAATATGACACTTGACTTCCCTAGAGATTTTGCTTCGAGGTAATCAGAGCATTGTGTGATAGCTTCACAAAACTTGGCTTCTTCATCTTCGCTCTCCGGCTAAAGAAAGATGTTAGTCGTTGCAATGTCAGAGCACAGCAGCGTTCAAGTGCCATTCTCATTCACATACCTTTCCGTTGGTAACCACAAAAACGACCAAAGGCTTGTTGAAGGTGTCTGCATCAATTTTATCAAGAACCATAGGCTTCACAATTTTGGCATTCAACTGCGTGCCTAAAGGAAGACCTTCACTTCGTGTGCGTAGCGCTTCATCAGCTACCTGCCGCAGACTCTCACCGCAGCCGCTATGCCAGGATTTCTCAGTGTTAACGAATTGAACAGTTATTCGGGACTCTGTAAATGACTCTGAGATCTTGGCAATTTCATCCAATGTGTTCTTGACGGTTCCAGCCAGATCGTTGTCGTGGACTGATTGTCTATCATCTAGAGACACAAATGTAAGCTAAAGGACAACGAAAGAGGAGACAAACGGACAAAAGGTCACGTACCGCATAAGACCACATAGTCGTAAAATCCGAGTTTCATCATCCATGGAATAGCCCTGGGCGATAGGCCCCAGCTCAAAGCGTTGCTTGTTGCCTCTCCATAGGAAAGGTGAGTTTCGTTGATGTCGAGGCCCTTCAAACCTCTCTGAGCGAATCTCCGAGTGGACGCTAAATACAATCTCTCTAGATAGATTGATTCCTGTATTGAAAAGGTGTCAGTAACGAGGTACAGCTTAAGACAAGTTATGCCCGTACCAGTTCAAGCGCCTTGGAATTAATAACAAAGTCAACTGTCTCTCGATTGCCGCTAAGCATGGCAAGGTAAGAGGAAGGAGAGGCCTGGTTGTTTTCCTTGGCGGACCACTTTTCAAAGGCCAAAAGCTGATTGACAACTCTAGAGTGTCCTCTTTTTATGGCGAGCTGAATGGGTGTCTGGCCAGAGCTATCCAATGCCTCAGTGCTCAGTCCTTGAGTAACAAGTACTAGCACAGCCTCGAGATTCCCATGATTTGCGGCGACATGAAGAGCTGTTTGGCCCTCCTCATTCACGAGCTCCTGGTAATACTTCTGAATCTTCCGACTGTCAAAGAGCAAGGTCAAAATGTGATGATCTCCGCTCGCCGCTGCCGTGTGTAGTATGGTTTCATTCTTCTTATCCTTTGTGAAGACCATACCGCCATTCCTTAGGAGCATGTCGACTATCTTCAAAGCCTCATATCCCACTCGGCCAACGGCGTGATGTAGAGGCGTTCTGCCATCTTGGTCTTCTTGGTTCACATTGGCCATGGCGGCAAGGAGAACCTCAACAGCGTGAGACTCCTTGATTGCTGCGCGATGCAACGGCGTCTTGCCTTCTTTGTCGACCGCATCAACAGGCGCACCCGAGGCCACCAGGATCTCCAGGGCGGCAAAATTGCTCTCCCTGATAGCGCGATGAAGGAGGGTCTCCCCTTCGTCGTCTAGGGCTCCAAGGTCTGCTGCCTTCTGCTTCAGGACTTCAACGACAGCTGCATGGTGCATCTCGGCGGCAAGGTAGACAGCATTGCGACCTGCACTGTCCCTCGCCTCCTTGTCAACCCCAATGTCGCATAAGACAGCGACCGCACTGGGGTCGCCATCTCGAATGGCTCTATGCAGAACCTCCCAGAGCTTGCTCTCCCCTGACTCCCTAATCTGCGAGAGGGAGCTGTAGAGAAGCTTAGAAATCTTGGCAAGGTTTCTTCTTGCTGAGATATAGAGGAGATTCTCCAACTCTGTGTCGTCTTCGGTGTACTTCTTTCGAAATTCAGACTTGAGAAGGAGCTCAACAGCATCCACGCTGGCATCTTCGACCGCGCGCCGAAGAAGAGTCCAGCCCATGTCACTGTCATCATCTTCCTTCTTCAACTCATGCTTGAGAAGTGAAGCAAATGCATTCCGGCAGCCTTCTTGAGCTGCCACATAGAGAGCGGACCTATGACTGGAATCAACTAGGTCCTTGTCCGCCCCGACTTCAATGAGCAAGTCAATTGCATCCGCGTCATTAAAGCTAGCCATCTGATGCAAGAGCGGCAAGCCGTATTTCCTCGCGTTGACGTTGGCGCCGGCAACTTTCAGCGCTTTTGCCACGTCGAGATGATGGTTCTTGGCCGCATAGAACAAAGGAGTCTGAGAGTCCATGTCCTCCATGTCGACTGCCTCCTTGCCTTTTCCAATGAGGAAGGAAGCGGCATCAGTATGGCCGGCGAGCGCGGCCAGATGAAGGGGGGTTCTCATGTTGGAATCACGCGCTCTTGCGTTGGATCCAAAATCGAGAAGAAGTTGAATAATCTCCACGTTGCCTCTCCTCGCGGCAATATGAAGAGCAGTGTGATATTTGTCGTCGCAGTGGTCCACATCAGCCCCGGCACATAGCAGTTTGTATATGGCGCTGATGTGGCCGTTCTCCGTAGCTAGGTGCAAGGCAGTGTTGCCGTCGTCATCTTTCTGATTTAGAAACCCCAAGAAGGTTCCCCTACCAGGGCTTGATTCTCTTGATTTGGTGAGAATAAGTGACAGAGCGGCATCATTCCCTTCCTTGGCGGCGAGATGGGGTAGGTATTGTAGGCGAGCAAGGGGGCTGCCAGCCCTTTCCTCTGCATACTTCTGGGACATCTGCCATCATCATTAGTCGTGTCGCTGAGAGCTTGCACACGTTCTTTCAGACCTCTGTTGAAGATAAATCCAAAGCCAAAAATGGCCGTATAACCGCAAATGACGAACGGTGATTAATTCCACAATGTTTAGAAAGTATAAAATCGAACGTTTTGGTGGCAGGACCTGGACGTCAATCTGGTTTATTCATCTCCGTATAACTAAACAATAGTCCTCAGTCTACGGTGACGATTAAACCCAATTGTTACCCGAAGGACAGGGCAAAAGTTGGGTTGGTGATTAGCACTGCATTGCCAACGCACGCTGAGTGTGATTGGTTCCATCACACACCACGGTGCCCAATATATCGCCATCTTCACTCTGATACCTAATTTTATCACATTCACCTGTGTGAACGAAAATTCATCCCCTGATCAATTATGCAAGGTGTCATACGAGCTGATTTGGTACCCAAGTTCACAACTCCAATGAACTTCCTGTCCGTGTTGTATCGCAGCGCATTGGGTTTTGGGCACGGATGACACTAGGATGAATGCACTTAGTGCTCACATTGTCTATCCTGGTTCATGGGCATTTATTGCTCTACGCTCTGTCGATCGCTTAGACTAATTGGGTATCTGATGTTACCATCTCTCTTCAAGATAAGGCTTACCAAGAACTTGGGTCTCATTTGTTCGCTGTCGTTAAAGGAAGAACCCTAGGCCCTTGACGTAGTTCTCTGCCAGCTCATCATTGCATCAAATATACTAGAGCTGAAAAGGTCCATCAGACTGCGCGATGGCGTCAAATCACCCATCCGTGGAATCCGCTCTGGCTAAGCGACACGCGGGACAGCCGAGAGGACGGGAAAGGGGCCTACAAACCTAGATTACTCGAGATCTAGTAAATGGATTCGTTGATGAGAGAAAATTCTGAGTAGATTTTGCGATAGGGTGTAGCGTATGTTTTGCGTGATCGTTCTTGCTGCCATGCCTCTCGGCCCTCCCGACGGTCTTCGTCTTATTGGCTTTCTTTTCACATAGCACTTGGGATTAGCGCCGGGGAATGCTCTAATCAGTTCTATTGAGAATTGAACGTTCATTATTGTGGTAAGCTGGACTAGGTATGGTGCATATTGTAAGAGTGTCTATGGTAAGAAGCTCTCTGATTTGGAGCAGGGTCTCGTGTAGATAGACGGTCTCATAAAAGAGGTGGATTAACGGATTGGTTCAAGAGGTTTATCAAAGCTCCAGCGCAGCAAGGCCCATATGAACTACCCATATTCCTCTTTTGACGACCATCCACGTCTCATTGAAAAAAAATAAAAAAATCGCCAAATACAGAGTAAAGTTGCATCAGTTGTAGGGTAATTCAATATTCACCAGCGGTGGATGGATGATAAGGAACAATGTGGGTCGCTTAATGGGGGCTTTAGCAGGGGAATCACGTGAGTCATCAGGCACCGCAATCAACAGGCGGCCGATGTCGGAAAAGGTTGCTCCCCTGTGACTCTGGCCCTGTAGGTCGACCAGATTGTTAAACCTATCCTCATTGACCCATTGACCAAGCACCAATTGACTCCATCAGACGCTATCTGCTTTTCGAGAGGGTATTAATCCGATTACCTTAAACAACACCCACAGCCAAGCCCATCATGGCCGCCAACAACGCTCCTGTTCAGGGCATGCTCTGGGGTGGGCGCTTTACTGGTTGGTAACTCCCCGATGATGAAGCTCATGGATCCCATATACTGAGTGGCGTAATGAATGATAGGTGGTATCGATCCCCTTATGCACCAGTATAACGAGAGTATCTCCATCGATAAGGTCCTTTACAAGGAAGACATCCTTGGCAGTATTGCCTTCGCCCGTGCCAACGCCAAGGCTGGCATTATATCTGAAGATGAGTTTGCCAAAATTGAGCATGGTCTCCGAGAAGTGATGAAGGAGTGGGAGACAGGCACCTTTCAGATTATGCCTAATGACGAGGATGTAGGGAACTATTTCTCAACCAACTTGAAATGACATTGCTAAACGAATGGGACAAGATTCATACTGCGAACGAGCGTCGGCTATGTGAACTCATCACCAAAGAAATTGGCGGGAAGCTTCATACCGGTCGTAGCCGAAATGAGCAGGTTGTCGTTGATATGCGAATGTGGTTGCGGGAGCGCATTCGTGAGATTGAAGGTCATCTCATTTCCTTCCTTCAGGTCGTGGTAGCCCGTGCTGAGGCTGATATGTGAGTCTGGCACCAGTTTACCTACCCCTGATAAGGCCATCCCTTCTAATATAAACAGTGATCACATCATGCCTGGGTATACGCATTTACAACGAGCTATGGCAGTCAGATTTTCTCATTGGCTCCTGTCATATGGGTTCAACTTTGCAACTGACTTGGAGCGTTTGAGGGAGGTTTTGAAACGTATCAACAGGAGGTAGGCTCTCTCGTATCTGGCAAAGCATACTCTTGCTAATATGAAATATAGTCCACTCGGATCTGGTGCACTTGCTGGTAATGCCTTTGGTATTGATCGCCAAATGATGGCGAAGGAGCTAGGCTTCGAAGGTATTACGTACAATTCCATGCAATCCGTCAGTGACCGAGACTTCGTTACCGAGTTCCTGATGTGGGGTACTATGTTCATGGGACATCTCTCACGATGGAGTGAGGACTTGATCCTGTACTCAAGCTCTGAATTCTCGTTCATCACTATTGCCGATGCCTACAGCACGGGCAGCAGCCTGATGCCGCAAAAGAAGAATCCAGATGCGGCCGAGTTGCTCAGGGGCAAGGCAGGCACGTCTTTCGGGCATCTGGCTGGTCTTTTCTGCACGACCAAGGGCTTGCCAAGCACATATAACAAGGATTATCAGGAGAGCCTTCAGGCGATGATCAGTCATGTCAAAACTGTCTCGGACAGTGTGCAGATCGCAAATGGCATCCTGAGCACCCTTACTCTGCGACCAGAGCGGATGCTAGCTTCACTGGATCCATCCATGATTGCTACTGATATTGCCGATGCATTGGTCAGAATTGGCGTGCCCTTCCGCGAAACACACCATATCTCAGGACGAGTGGTAGCAAAGAGCGAGGAGCTAGGTATTCCGATGGACAAGCTCTCGCTCGAGCAGATGAAGGCTATCGATGGGCGATTCCCGGACGATATCATGGATGCGTTTGATTACGAAGCTAGTGTTGAGTCACGATCTGCCCAAGGTGGCACCAGCCGAGCAGGTGTGCTGGAGCAGATCCAGGTTCTTAAGGCTATGCTGGGATAGAGTCGTTCAATGAATGACTCAAAGGCTGTGGTTAGACAATGGGAGTCGGGAATTTGCACAATTAGGTTAAGCCCGGATCTGTATAATTATTAATTAAGGGGCTTGTTAGTCACCCACCACTTTCTTGGCCAAGATGCCAATTCGATGCCTAACTATTGTGGCAAACCCAGCTTAATAGTCGCTGATAGCGGTGGGTAGTTTGTGGTTTTTATCAAAGCAGAGAAGTGGACTTTGCTGTGATTGTTTGATAGGATACTGTTCAGCTGTAGCATGAATGGAATTATGGACTCTGCTGCTGGTTCTCCCTTTAGGCTGTGTATAGAACTCTTGAGGTGTGTCGTCTTACTACGCACCCATGTAGCAACTGGGAACGAGCCCAGCCAGATGCACGCCCTTAGGTCTCTTTCACCGAGACCTGTGGCATCGTTTGGCCCAATTGGATGTTGGCTCAGGGTTGTACGCTTGATTAAGTACTATGTGTACGCCGAAGTGACGGGCATGTAATTGAGGCTGCCGCCTGACTTCAGTTGCCCTTTTCCCTTCATTCATTTCAGAAAGCTCTATATCTGAAGAAGTGATCCTGGATTATGCCTCTATGCCTAGAGTAGTCTGATACGCCTTCCAAACATAGAAAATTCCTGTCCGTGAGCGAATCCATGTCCGATGTGACGAGGCCTTGTCTCAATGTTCCATTGAGGGGCACGGCTGGCTCAGGGATGCGCGCGCCGGCGGGACATATTGATGCCTTGCCTCTATGGAGATCAAGACTCAAATTGGCGAGCGGACAAGGGGCCCGGTCACATCACCAATACGACAGTGATGAGCGCTGGGGGTTACACAGCGGAACGCTTCCCACAACCCGGGACCTTCCTTGCTTTTCGGGTCCGATACTCCGATATTTTGAGAAAGCGCCGAACCTTGCGAGAGTGTGCTTACCATCGGTCGATGCAGGGGTTGTCACACATTACCCGATGCGAGGTGACCTTCTCTCGGGCCGCGGTCCTTCTAAGCACATATGCGGTTGGTCCTTTGACCGGGTCACCGGCCTGGTAAGATGAAGTAATACGGTATCTTGATATGAGATGTACTGGACTCCGTATTGACACTAATTCTTTCACGTTGAGGCTCTCATTCGAACAAGGATCGGAGGGCATGCGCTCTTTCTGGACATGTTGTCCCTCAGTAGCTACCAACAACCTGCATGAATGGCCCTTGTCAACGTGTGGTTGCATGCATACACAACAGTCAATGCGAGCTCCTCGTACGGTTTCAGGGGGGCTCTCGTTTACTGACGCTGAACCAACAGACCGACAGGCCAAGAAAGCGTAACGCTTGACTTGTAAAAGGTGAAGCGGCAACAATGTGCGCTGCTGCGGCGTGCTCGCTTCTGCGGCGGACGCAGACCGAGGGGATAATATAGTAATAGAAGGGGTTCTTTCAGCCTTCAGCCCAGAACTAAAAACAATCTTATGCCTTCTCATTTATGCACCGGTCGTCATGGGGAAAGGTATCGACAAGAAAGCGGTCGTGGTATGTTCTTTCATCTCTGTTTCACATTGCTGTATTGCACACACAGTTTAGTACTCAACACTCTGTCGACGATCATTAGGGAAGGAGATTCATAAACGAGAAATCAATCAAACTAACATTATGATTTGCAATAGCCCGTCGAAGCCACGCTCCTGAGCATCGCCCTGATATTCATCCTTTCACGACTGTTTCTGCGTCTCGTCTTGTCCCGAACTCGCCTAACTCTCAGCGACTGGCTACTTATTGCCTCGGGGGCCGATGCCATCGCCCTCTTCATTAGCGATGCGATGACATATAAGCTAGGAGGAATGGACGACTATGATCCTGATGCGCCTGAGACGCCTGTGGACGTCGATATCGCACTGATGAAGCTTGCATTTGCTGGAAACTACTTTTACGACGCGGGTATCTATTTCCCAAAGATGGCTCTGCTGGCGTTTTACTACAAGCTGGTCCCGCCTAGGAACATGATGCCCAATTTGCGTAACTACCTCTACGTTATTACAGGCGTGACTGTAGTCTTCTTCGTGGCTACCTGCTTCTTGGACACTTTCTGGTGCGGCTCTCATGTGGCAGTCAACTGGGATCCCAATGGAGATTGTGCTACTTTTGATTCGATGAATGTTTCTCGAATCGACTGGGTCCTCAGCATCGTTGCGGACTTACTGGGTATGTTGATGCATATGCATGTTCCAGTTGGATCGATTTTTAATTTGCGGCTACGTGCTAGGCTTTTCTATACCTTTCTTTCTGCTGCCTGGACTGCGAATCAACAAGCGATATCTCATCGGCCTGATTGTCACCTTTTCTCTGGGCGCTGTCACTGTAGCCGCAAGTGTCGTTAGATTTGCCACGATGCAAGTGATCCATGCCTGGACGAATGTTTGTTAGTTTGAATCTCCCCTTCACTCTCTACTTTTCCTATGCCTAGTATATAATGCCCGAGACGGGGAATAAAAATCTAACCTGGAAACTAGACGTACTTTCCATGGCGGAAATGGTTGCCGCCATTATAGTAGTGTGTCTACCTGCTCTCAGATCACTCATCCGTCGTGTTGAGACACACTCGTCGAGGACGGGCGCGACAAGCAACAAGTCTCACGGAAAAGCATACAAGAATTATGCAATGAGTAGCGGTCATATCAAACTATCATCCGGTAGGGATGCTTATGCAACCTCTACAAACGTCGTTACGGGAGGACCTTCGGGCAGCGAAGTAGAACTACAAGACCTCCCGAAAGGACGCGGTGGGATTTACAAGACGGAACGAGTTAGTGTATCATCTTTGCGACGAGAGGATATTAGATGAGTAAAACAAAACCGTTAGGTAGATACATAGAGTACCCATCATTCTCCTCCATGGGAATATACTTAGTACACGTTCTATTTCTGTGACCTAATAAAACTGTACGATATCATGTAGACTGTAGCAATCACATAGCGGGCCTAGACGAAAACGTACATCGTTGCAGTACTGTGTCAATCCCTGTGATAACAGGGGGTTCGGACTCACTCTCCGACCGTTCCCGGCTTATTCCAAATCGGTTCGCCATGTAGCTCAATTTCCTATACGCCTGTCGTCAGGCTCGTTCATGCTGTTGGGTGCTTCGGAAAGATGCCACAGCAATGAAGCAGACCAAGCTGCAGGCCCTTGTTGGCCGGAAACATAAATACCGCTGGGGTTGTATCGATACGACCAAGTCAGACCACTGTGCCACTTGTAAACCTCCGGTTGTGATGTAGTGTAGCAAAAGTCCCAGAAATTCTGATGGCCTCCAGCTGCTCGCTGTTGAGTGCAACCTTGAGTTGGTTGTGGTTTTACCAAGCTGCATATGGCCACCGTGATGCGACACTCCCATGTCTCGCATGCAATTCTTTCTGTTTGTTTCCAATCCCTGTGTTGTAGCAACGAATTCTAATATTTCCACTTATTTTTTTACTTGTTTCTTATTTCTGTGCCCTTTTGCCTTCTCCCTTCCTTCCTTTACATCCAAGCCTCTTCCACGCTTACAAACCACCATTACATACGCCTTCGACCTGGTGACATCCAGGGACTTTTGGCAGCATGGCGTATTTCATCGACGGAAAAGATTGCATGGTGAGCGATTCAATGCATAGGAGGAAACAGGACTGCCCAACTAATACACAAAACGCCTAGATATCGGAATGGATTCTTCTCGCCGCCTCCTACGTATTCGTTGCCTTGCGAATTTACACTCGCCTTTTCCGCCTACGTCAAAAACTCGACTTATCTGACTGGCTCCTCGTTCTGTCCGCCCTTGATGCACTCGCTCTCATCATTTGCGACACCCTGACCTATCAGATTGGTGTACTTGATGAGTGGGAGCCGTCTGTGACACTTTCCAAGGTGCGGAATATTAGAATACAGCTCCTGGCTTCGTCTTCGCTTCTGGATAAACAGACTTCACTCAGACTAATTATCATCTGGAATAGATCTCTTTCGCTTCCAATTACTTTTACGATGTTGGAATGGGTTTTCCCAAGATGAGCATGTTGGCCTTTTACTGGGGCTACTTCGCCCCCAACATCACAAAGGGCATGCGCAGGACACTCTGGTGTGCTGTTATTTTCGTTTGCCTTTGCTACATGGCCATTCTCTGGGATGATACTTTCTATTGCGGCAAAGACGTTTCTGTCCAGTGGTCTCAGGAGGAGGGCGCCTGCAGCGTCTTCTATGCCACACCACCCTTTATTCTCAACTTCACCCTGAATTTGGCCTGTTATCTCGTCGGTATGTTCTTTGTTTCATTACTTATTGGATAAATACGTGGCTGGAGTCTACAGCTGACATATCCTCTCCCGTAGTTTATGCGCTGCCGGTTGTCCTTCTGAACCAAGGTGTCTTGAAGCCTTCCAAGGGTGTCGCACTCACTTTCGGCCTCGGTACCTTGACCATCTTCACCACCATTGTGCGTTTTGCGTCTCTCAAAATCGGCACAGGGCAGGAAAATCTTGTTTGTAAGTTGGCGCTCTTATACACTCGAACCGTAAATATACTGACCTCTCGCCAAAACATAGATCCAATGAGTATGCTTGAGATTACCCTTGCCATCACCGTCGTTGCTCTTCCTGGGCTAAAAGATCTTGTCAATGGCACGTCTTCGCGCGATGTCTCACCTGAAACGGCAGAAGTCGACCAAAAGGCCTGACCAATTTCCAGGGCTGCGACTCTCTCTGAAGGGTAGGGCTATCTTGGAAGTTGGACTTGATAGAGCAATTGAGATATTGTCTATAGATGCAGATTTTACATACACGAATTCATTCAAAGAACTCCTCCTGCTTTTGATTGTCTATCAAGATTTTTCCTAGAATAGCATATCTCACCCCTGCCAATCCTACCCTGCCTCATGCTGGAGTGAGGGGTCAGCGGAGAGATCCAGTATCAAATTTCCTACATACCCATGTCGCTACTGCAAATTTCGCACAGCCATTGCAGTTGGCGGTAAGAAATTCGAACACACTTAGTTTCCCCAAGCCTTTAGCTCCCAATTGATGCAGCCAAGCGCGAGTCACGATACAGTAGTCGGGTCGAGGCGTTGGTAGCATTGAGGTTGGTCGCGTGGGCTCAAGCCCTCTGAGAAGTAGCATTCATTCCTCGAGTTACTTAGCATCATGGATCCCGTCTCTGCATTCCGAGTGGCCGGCACAGTTGTAACATTTGTCGATTTCTGTTACAGCCTGGTATCAGAGTCCATCGAGATCTATCGATCACCGGAGGGGATATCCTCGGAAAGCTTCCAATTGTCCACCGTCGTCAAAGACCTTGGAAAGATCGGTACACAAGTTAGCGATGCACTAGATACAGCGACATCTCAAGCCCTTGTAGCATCCGATGAGTCGCTCATCAGACTCTGCCGAGAATGCGAGTCTATCACTGCAGAAGTCCAAAGCGCTCTGGGCTATCTCAAGGCCCAGGGGGGCGGCTCGAAAGCCATGATGGCGAAAAACAGTGTTACTGTCGCGCTCAAGGCAATGTGGTCGAAAGGGAACTTGCAAAATATCGAGAAGCGATTGCAGCAGATACGGTCGGAAATGACAATGGCAATGCTGGTCTCTCTGTGGTATGAATGTGCCCGTATAGAGGAGTGTACCTTCTGTTATAAACTAACAATTCATGCAGGGAAAGAGATCGAGCCCGCGGAAACGGGGCGAGTGAGAGTTTGGAGCACCAGATCTCCAAGCTAACGCAGAAAATTGATAGAACTAACGGCAAACTGGACCAATTCGCCTCTGATCTCGATAAGATCTCCTCAGAGGATGACACCGTGGGACCTGGGAACAGGAATGTTCTTTTCAGAAGACTATGGGAGTCGGATTGGCAACCCTCCGAGGCGCCCGTTGAGGACACGAATCATCTCAGTTCTGCTAGCAATAATCTGAATAACCAGATCCATAAACAAATTGTCAAAAGCCTGAGTTTCTCTGACATCTCTCGGAGGGAAAGGTCGATACCCAAACCATATGACGACACTTATCGTTGGATTTTCGAACCCGACGATGAGGTTCATAATGGAAGCAACGATATGCTCAAGGGAAGAAACAATTTCACCGCTTGGCTTCAAGATCCGTGTCCGGTGTATTGGATCACGGGAAAACCAGGCTCTGGAAAGTCAACGCTGATGAATTTCATCGTCCGCGATTCCCGGACTAAAAAGAACCTCCAAAAATGGGCATCCCCATTTCCTTTGCTTCTTGGGCACTTCTACTTCTGGGAAGCTGGGCACAATAACTTGCAAAAATCGCGAGAGGGACTATTACGAACACTGCTCTGTCAGTGCCTGCAATCAATGCCCGAGCTCACGCCAATCGTACTCCCACGACGATGGGCTGTGTATCAAGTTCTACGTGGCCTGGAAACCCCGGCGCCGGCTTGGAGTTGGGAAGAACTGCAAGACGCATTCTTTATCCTGGCGTCGCTTAATGGACATTCGTTCAAGCTCGCGCTGGTTCTAGACGGACTTGATGAATTCAGCGGTGATCCGAGTGTTTTGATCTCATTCATTCAGGTACTTGTAACCAGATATGGTGTCAAAATATGTCTGGGTAGTCGACCTTTGACCGAATTCACGGACGCATTCGATGAATATCCCCGGCTCGCAATGCAATACCTCACCCAAGGTGACATCGAGTCCTATATCATAGGAAGCTTCCAATCTAGCAAGGCATTTCGAGAACGGCAAGCGCTTTTCCCTGATCAGGCCGGAGCCCTGCTCTATGATATAGCAAACAAGGCCCAGGGAGTGTTCCTTTGGGTCTTTATTGTAGTCCGAGACTTGCTTTACAGTCTGTCCAAGGGTAGAAGTCTGGCTGACTTGCAAGCTGTTGTCGATGACCTGCCAACAGACTTGTTCCAGCTCTACAGTCGGATGAGAGAAAAGGTCGATCCACAAGATCTGAAAAACTCCAATCGATATTATCAGCTTACAGTTGCATCTCTAAGACCCTTGCACGCCATATCGGTCTGGATAGCAGACGGGGAGAGTCTGCCGAATGGAGATATTTTCACAGAGGAACATAAGGAAAACATCGTCAAAATACTGGAACGACGCTTGGATAGCTCGACCAAAGGCCTTCTGGAAGTGGATGACGATGGGATAGTCACCTTTCTTCACAGAACCGCACGAGACTGGGTCCTGCAAGAATCCATTTTATCGACATCTCGTAAATCATCAACAAACTTCGCCCCGGAGCTGGTTCTGCTCCAAGTGCTTACGACAGTGATTTCGAGACCACGGCTATTCATCCATCTGGGATTTTCACAGCTTGCATTTTGGGATATAGTGGTCCTGGGATTTTTATATGCGTCTCAAGTGGATGAATGCTTCACTGAGTCCCTTGTTCACGCGGTCGATGATTTCGATGCAGCTCTTTGCGAGCGAGCTGCAGATCTTGGAAAGCGCGGCTACATATTTGACGCGAATTTGTCAAAACCGGACTCGACTGCGAGTAAGTCAAACCGATGGCTTAATCGCGGAGGAAAGCGAGACCGCCCATCCAGCGGCAAGTCTAATGCCGGAAAACATTGGTCATGGACGCAGGATAATTTACCATTCTGTATTGAAAATTCCGCCGTGGGAATTGCGGCACAGTTCGCCGTTGTCCCCTATGTCAAAGCCAAATTGAAGACCAACAAAGGTCTTGTAAAATCCGAGCCAAACAGGCGATCTCTGCTGGAAAACACAATTTTCGGGTGGCAGTTCTATGTGAGCCGTACAAACGAGGATTTGGCTCACTATTCAGCCAGTTGGAGGCTTCTCATAGACGACCTCTCGCGTCAGAGGATTGAACTAGTCAGACTATTACTCGAATCGGGGGCATCCCTCAGTGACCCAACATGTAGGTGTCGACAGAAAAAGGGTAGGAGTATTGAAGAGGAGGTTTCCATGTTGGACAGCAACGGGAGGGCAAAGGTGGCCTCTCAGGAGTTTTGGGACGAGCTTGCAAAATTTTTGCTTAAGACTCGGAGGAGAAGCCGCCTTTGGGGCCTTTTCGCCTAATACGTACCATGTTAGCTTCTATTTGGTGCGTGAGTCCTTTGTATTGTCAGCGGATATGGGGAATGGGGGAGATGTTCCAGGCAGACCGGCCGAGAGCTTCATAGGGATTCTACACACAAATGCGGGGTGACTTTTATTAACAGGATACTTGTATTCAGATTCTAGACAATTATATTAATATATGAGCCCAGTTTTATAACGACTAGGCATCCAGAACGGATCCCGTTAGGCTTGGCAACGGTTTCACCTTGGGCGTAGATGCCTGCCGATGAGTTCGGTATGACTTATTAATATTGGAATCCTCAGAACGACGAGTATTTATAGACACAGCGCACAGTTTACATACAAGATTCTCGTTCACTTGTTTGTAAGAAGCATCGGCCGTTTCTGCATAGACTAATTTACTATCCCCGAGTTCCCTAAATTTCTGTCGAGCATTGAGATATCTCTTATACAAGAGTCAAACAAAAGTTTATGCATGGTGATATAGCGCCGGTTAGAATGGCGGCACTATCCTTCCATCGTCGGGCCGAGCTATGCACTGGCCAGTCACGCGTGTGAAGACTGTTTTTCTGATCGACCTAGACCCTTGTTTATTCTTTGAGACACTGTCAGACACTCGGACTCTCATCTTCCCGAATGGTGAGGGCTAGAGTTGGCTTACTGCGGCTGAGGTAAAAATATGAAACAGCCTGTCTCGTGATAGAGCCATTGATGCTACAACACGCAGGTGAAAAGTTTCCACCACCAAAGTAATTCTTTGTCACTCGCTTACTTACGTAAATTAGTATCACACTAATTCCATGAGTAGACAGATACACGACGGCTTTCACTTATCATTCTTTCAAATAAAGAGTATGGTCCCAATGGCTCGCTATGTCTTGCTTCCAACCCCCAAGCTGACACAGTTTCAGTGCCTACATTTCTGCCCTTCAGGATGTCTTATTACCTACTTCAACATACTACCTCGCCATCCCCCACACCTCTCCCCGTTCCTTTCTTCGCGGAGGTCCGTCATATCTTCACTGTCACTCTTTCTGAATGCCAACAATCCTTTTGTTGCCCGACCATCAAGCGCGGATCCTCCAAGGTGAACGGATGTCATTATGGACCGGGATTCTAGTGTGTTGACAGGTCGGGAGGTGCTCATTGGAGTCACAGGCCTGGCTTCTGTCGTCGTGTTTGGCTGCGCCATTCGCCTCTCTCATCGACGCGGCGATGCTGCGCGTCACTGTTTTCTGTATTTGCGAATGGCGTTATGCTCCTTTTTCGTGTGAGTTCTATCCTGTCGTGGCCACGGTTCCAAAGCACACAAATGACAGTCTATACTGCGGGAGATGATAAAAGATCTAACATGACACCACTTACCGTGTAGGTCGCGTCTTTTTGACCTAGCAGCGTTCATCGTATCCAACAGCGGTGGTAGCTCGTCCTCAGATATGTCCACTGCCAGCTTAACAGCTATCAGAGCGATTATCGGCTTAACTGCCGTACATCTACTCCTCACGCAATTCACCGACGTGTTGATACTGCTCCTACTCTCACACCTCTGCATTGGAATTCTCGTCGCCAACCTGAACGAATTAACACCGACCGAAAGAGTATTTAGACGCAGTATTCCGATAGTTGGAATTGTCCTCGCACTCCTTGTAGCCGCGAATGTCGGCGCGACTATTTCCTATTATACTATCTCACCTTCAGCGCCTGTTTTCGGAGTAAATATGGCGTATCAAGTCTGCATATGCACCGTGTCACTCCTAGTTGGTAGTTGGGCTATCACAGTCAAGCTTAGGACTCGAGGAGTGGCTGAGCTGAACCAGGTTGGTTGACATTTCCTTATTCAGAAACCGCAATGTTTCTCAAATCTAGATGTTTCTGTGAACTAACTAATTCACCCCAGGCCTCAGTTTTCCTCCTCGTTTGTTGTGGTCTGTTCGTCGTGTGCACCGCATACGGCCTACTCATATCAGCCAACCCTGGGAATGGCTCACGACTGATATTCTTGAGTCTTATTGATGTTATATTCTCTACGTGGCCCGGCTTTATCATCCTCTGCCTTGTTTTCGCAATGAGCACCAAAAAGGCACCCAACGGGCTGTGGACCAGAGTCGAACCCGAACCGTCGATCCAAACCGATGTAGCTCCCGATACGCCATGGACGAAGAACTTAGATTTTACGCAATCCTCCAGGTCACCAACTCTGATGATGTGGGATCCTCAGACTGGGAAGACATGGGAGGTTCAGAATGCCCAGATGCAGCAGCAACATCCATACCATGCTGCTCAAGAACTTGAACAGCCACCACCACTGGCGCCTCAGGAGATGTATGCGACCTTCCCGGAGCTTGATAGTCCCCAGTCCCCCTATCCGGTTGCCGAACTACCTACTAGTCCTATTCTTCTGCCGAATACGATTGCGGGAACAGGCCGAGAGGTACAGAGAGAGCGGGAGGAGGAACATGATGTGGGCATGGCTCAAAGGGGTCACAACCCAATTGCATGTAGTATCAAGTTGGCCCTTCGAAGGGGTATGGATCACTTTTAATCGTCACCAGGCACACATTAATTCTTCTTTGTACGAAAGACATCCCCGGGAGAAGTTGGGTGTTCAATCTTGGAACGCCCTACGGGAGAATATAAATCAGACAGAAAACAATAAAAAAGGAGGAAAGGAAAACCTTGTACGTTGGATATTATTAAGGCAAATATTGTCATGTTTATTGGGGTATTCACTCGGCGTTAGTCTATTTGACATTGGTGTTCCGACTCGCGCTCCATCTGGAACAAGAATTCCTCTCCCAAATCTTGAGTAGAGCATGTGAGCGAATTCTCGACGTATATTCATGAGTTTCATTCGCGAACCGCGTCTTGTATTCGCCTGATATCATCATTGCCTCGCCTAATCGTATCGTCGACGCGGTCTCTAAAGCCTGGATCCTGCTCGCTTTCTCGTATAGCCTTCTCTGACCTGACGAGGTCTAGGATATCCTCCACCAGTTTGAGATAGTCATTCTGTGCATTTACCCATTCACTCTGTAAATCGTCCGTAATGCGTTCAAATAATTCCTTGGAGGCTTTCATCACATTTCTGAAAAGAACCTGATTAGAAAAGCCACCGTTCATTATCGTTTTCCGCCGTCGGTCGCTTCCGGTGCCTGTAAGTTGCGTCGGTGTCAGCCATGTCCCCTCAAATACACAACACGGGCTGAAGAAGGTGTGTAATAATCATATGGGGAATTACCGTATTCTTGGTTGCATCGTCGATATGTCGGCTCCATCTCCTTTCCGAACAACGAAGTTCGGATGCCAGAGAAGGTGTCAGTATGTAGCAATCTGCAATGATGCCTAATTAGTAAATAGCACCGGGTGATCATGATTCAAGAAACTGACAGAAACTTATCAGTAAGATTTTCAAAGCAGGCCTCCATCGATCTTTGAAGGAGCCGTGTCTGGGCTTCTAGGGCTTCAAGTAGTACGTTCGTACTCTCGTCGTTGTCGTCCAATTCGTTTTCTAGGATGGTTTGTTAGTTTTGTCAGATAGAGAAAGGCCGATGTAAGCCCAACACGACGTGAAATTACATCAGTGAACGAGAAGGAGGTTTAATTGAAGGGAAACAACGGGGATTTCTTTTCTCAGTGGGAAGGCAATGGAAGGTGAAGCATACCTAGGCTATCACGAATGGTCTCGGTTGTCGTTTCGATAGCTTGTGTAAGTTCGGACTGGCGCTCATACAGCGTTGAAGCCAGTGACTCCCACGGTGTCCTCAGATCTTCTACCATCTTCTCCATGGCCTCCAAGTTCCAATCGTGAGTTCCTGCCTTTGGTGTGGAATGATTACCAAAGTTGCTAACAAAGGCACTATATGAGCCTGATGAGCGAATTGTTAGTTTGAGGCCTCGAATTATTTCTCAGGTCGATTTTGGAGAACGAAGATGAAATACTCACTATGGTGCCACTATTAAAAGGTTAGCTAGCGATACAATTTGATAGTGACCTAAATGTTTCTACTTACTCCATTTCTGTCAAGGCTTGTGTCTGCAGCAAATTGTGTCCAGCTAAGCAACTGGATTCCTAGAATTAATTAGCCTGCTCTTACTTCAGACCACTCAAAAGAAATATAGCGAACTCACTTCCGAGTACTAACGTATTGAAATCCCGTTGCATTGTCTGTCCCGGCCGACTGTGCCTTCGCAAATTCTACGACCCGTATTAGTAGGCCAAGTTTACTTTGTAGGTGGACTTGCAGCTTATTCGTACTGTCCTCAGCTCACGTTCAATATTGTCCAATGCTGCAATAATAGCAATACGACGCTCTTGGTCTGCCGTCCTAGCCCCCGACTGGACCCAGAGTTGGATCTTGGAAAGCAATGCTGGGATCTCGTCATTGATGAACTGCACGACAACGCGACGCTGGGCTTGTGCCACAATTGAGATACAATGCTTCCGTAGATCGATGATACCGCTTAGCTTGAGGTATGGAAGTGCGCGGTCCTTTGGTTCGTTCCTCTTATCGTTGTAGAGTTTGTTGCTAACACAGAAGACTCGGAGAAGGCCATCGACACGGTGGGCATACTTCTGGGAGAGCTTGTTGGTTACAAACTCATTGCGCGTCGTGACCAGAAACTGGGTGAGTCTATAAGGTTTGTTAGTTGTTTTCACCCTTCGACAGGGTAAGACTATGGCCATGTATTTGACTCACTCAAATTCTCCGTTCTCAATCTTCTTCCTGTGTTGACTTTCGTCAGTTTGAAGCCAAAAAATTGAAGGGTTTGTACCTACTCGAGTTGCCGTTTATCCCTCCCCAGTAAGTTTCTCTCTTCTCTATCGACCTCGGAAAGGTCGCCATCATCCTCAAGCTTATCCAACTCCAAAATCTCCGCTTTCAACTCTTTATCGTGTTGTTTGTCTTCATCAATGGCAGCTATAAGAGATTTGATACGTGCTTGCCGCGTGCCATCCCAGTCCCTCAAGGCTTCACTTGGGACGATATCCTAGTCAATATGAATGAGAATTAACAAGAACCCATTTAGAAGATTGATTCAACACTTACCTCAGAACGAGTGCATACGATGCCTACATTCCTCAGCCGTGCGCGCTGGGCGAGGTTGAACACGTGAAGAACTCCTTCATCGGTCACAGCTCGGCCAATATTGCAAATCACAAATATTTCGTTACATTCAAGAATGTATCGCTCAGTGATACATCTCCGTGCCGAATTCAAATCACGAAGTCCTTTAAATCCACAGTCAGCTCTAGAGATCTAAAATGCCGGGCGCATGGCCAGTTGTTTCCAACATACCTGGTAGGTCGACAAGAACTAGGCCTTGTTTAAGGGCATGGGCATTCAAGAAGACCCTGTTTGGAACTAAATTTAGCATAACACTCCGATGAGCAGAAAGAGAGGCAGGTGATGCGAACTTTATTGTCTTGATAAATGGCCAGATGGCGGGTCCGGTTCGAGATAGGCGTTCCGAAGACAGGACAAACAATGAATCCGAGCATTGGTCGAGGCTGAGGTTTTGTTGGGATGTCACTGCCCGTGAGGGCCTCTGCTCCTCAGCCCAGCGGATCAGTGTTTGCAATACCTCACGTTGAGATCCTTGGAGGAGAAAAGAGTCGTTGTTCATCCGACCCCGAAACATTGCCTTGAAAGTATCCTTGGCAACATGAGCCCTGTCTTTTGCTGATTTCTTTTCCTCGGCTGTTGTCATTTCTTCAGCGTGGAAGGAGTAGTGACGGAAGTCCTCGAGCATTCGCTCTAGCTGCTCATTCAGCTCCTGGGTAGTGAACAACTCCACCTGGACATCCATGTGGTCATATTGGTGATAATGATATTCGGTCACAACACATGTGCAAGCCTCCCCGCTATTGCTCTTCTTGCTGTTAGAAAATATAATCATAACAAGAGAGATGTTTAGGGGGAACTTACAGCTCTGGCGAGATCTTTATAATCAAGAAGGGAGTTTAGCAAGCTACTTTTTCCTAAAATAGAGTCGAGTCAACGTATATACACTTTTGAAAATGTGGGCGCTGAACGTACCGACGCCCGAATCACCAACGAAGCCAATTCTTCGACTGGTGGGGTATTCAAACGACGATAACTTGACAGCCTCTTCATGAAGCTTCGAAATTGTCGATTCATGATCGTGAAGCAATGGCGCATCATCCATCACAGCCTTGAGGTCAGCCGTAAGGCTCTTCGCATCACGCAAAGCCTGCTGAAAGGCTGGCGAATGGAAGATGTCCTCGGGAAGAGGTTCTTCATGGACGTTGTGGCGTGTACTATAGGATGCAGATGGCGATCGCCCAGAACGGCGTCTGGCTCGTCGAGGTGTGCTAGGATCCGGCCGTGGAGCTGGGGTTATTGAAACGGGCTGAGTAGGCTCACGCTCAGCGGCATCTACAGCGTGAAGCAGGTCTGTGAAACCTGCGCTGAGGCCTCTTTTGTCTTTGTCTTTGCTTGCAAGCCGCATGGTTTGCATCTGTGATTCCAGCCCAAGGCTCTCTGAACGAACCCCATTTGATAAGGCATCGGGCGGCGGGGATATGGATACAGACGGAGTCCTTAAGCGCCCGATTGATGATTCTGTCTCTTCTGACGAGTCTCGGACCCAAGAGTCTGTCTCAATGGATGGGATAGGGGTGTCGGCTGAGGTTGAGGTCTTAGCAGGTGACATGTTGATCTACTTCAGTTAACTTGGTAATTGTTGGTGAGAGATTAAATTTCATGGTATAATGAGCCCTGCCCGAGGGAATGAGGGGCTGGCCTTTTGTAAGGGGTTGAGAGTCACATTTCACAGCCACCCGTTTCTAAATATGGGTTATGCTGTTGGTTCACAGCCTGCAGATTGATGTTGCAACCTGCAGCAATAGCATCCTGATGCGCGGTATAATCAGGAGGTCAGCGCTAAAATGAATTGGAATTGGCACGTAATTACCAATCACTCGCACCCAGAACCGAAAGGCTGAAGTGCTGCTGCATACGGCTTGTTTCGTGTGGTTGTTGGTCGCACACAAGCCGGCCTAGTGGTTTCTAAATCCCAAAAGGATCCTTCAGCTGAACATTGTTTTTACGAATGAACAAATACAATCAGAGGCTCATTAGCAAGAATACGAAAATTGCCCCATCACGATTTTCTGGTCTCTTCGTCGCGGTTTGAGTCGCCTTTCTTGGCAAACTAATATCACTGCCACGCCACGACATTTCTGCCATCACGCTTTTACAGCATAATCTTGCCTTAGAAAACACTGAAGATTGTATGAGTTTGTCGAACAGAAAATCACATGCGTGAGAAGCGCCTAAATAAAAGGCTTGCGCAATATGAAATCTACAAGCAGATGTATCACTGAGCGAGATATACTCAAATCAAGAAAATATGTGACGTGCAATGTTCATTCCAAAGGAGCAAGGCGCATCATAAGACAATGAAGTCTGGAAAAATACGAGCCTTCGTCACCTCAATTGCTATCTCGATAACTGAAACGCCATTTGTGTAATCAACCCACGGCTTTTACTAAGAGGTTAAATGAGAGATCCCGGTGTG